CATGGTAAAGTAGTAATCAAATCAGCTATTTTTGAATGAAGAAAAAAAAAACATTAATTTCAAGTACAGTGCACTCAAATAAAAAGCTAACACCTTAATAAATTTATTACTCTTGATCTATGAGTTTCTCGCTAAGGTGCAATCTTAATGTTTTAAGGGACTAAATTTAAATATGCTAATTAATTTCTGCAGACGATATTTCATGCAACAGAATCAGACCCAAAAATGTACTTAGTTGGAATGAACATACTTTGTTCCAACTAGTTTGGATTCATGATACACAAATATTCCGTTGATATCCTGTCTAATAGATTTGGACCATATTTCCCAAATTGGGCCTACACCTCATATTGGGCCAAGAATCCAAATCTGTCAAAATAAAAGTAAGTTTATTAAAAAGAGAGAGAGAGAGCATTTTTGTGTCTGATTTCGTAACTTCAAAGATCGCCAGCTCAAATAGTTTAGTATCTTAATTCAATTCATGGAATTCATACTAGTACGTGAAAATTCAATCAATAGATCAAAAGTTCTTTAAATGTTCCATTTTTATTTTAAGCACTGAATATGCCGAATAAAAGCAGTTAAACAGTTAAATTAGTTTAGCATAAAAAATAGCATACTAAATAATTTTTGTCCAATATTCAAATTCTGAATTTTTAACGAAGAGTAACAAACTTTCTACCCTACCAAAACAAAAGAGAAGTTAATATTCCAAAATCCAGCAAATCTGTTAAAATGTGTGATTCTTCTTTGCTTGATGTTAAAATGTGTGATTCTTCTTTATTAAAAAGAGAGAGAGAGAGGGAGCATTTTTGTGTCTGATTTCGTAACTTCAAAGATCGCCAGCTCAAATAGTTTAGTATCTTAATTCAATTCATGGAATTCATACTAGTACGTGAAAATTCAATCAATAGATCAAAAGTTCTTTAAATGTTCCATTTTTATTTTAAGCACTGAATATGCCGAATAAAAGCAGTTAAACAGTTAAATTAGTTTAGCATAAAAAAATAAAATATAGATATTGGGATGAAATATAGCTATGTAGATAAAATATAGGTATTTCCCCACAAATAATCGAAGTTTCATTATATGTATTAGAATTCCCTTCCATCAAACTTCCAACTAATAAAAACAATGTGTTAAACATAAATATCATAAAACGATGTAAAATGTCAAAATAAATTTCAAACTGTGCCTCTAAATTTTCGGAAGTCAAATATTGACGTTATCTAACTCAGCACAAAAGTAGCATTCCAGATCTAGTAATTTGTTTAAAATATTGACACTTTGAGCGGAGTTGAACTCAAATATTTTCAGTAACTACTTTGTATTACCAGTTCCAATTTGAATCTTTCATATTTACGAACCATCAATCAAATCAACAGAATAAACTCGAACTCACTTTTCGACAATGATTTATTACCTGCTTTATAAGCTGAAGTAGGGTGGTAATCGAGAATTCCAAGCAGTGGGTTTTTAAAACTACTTTTCGAAGATGAAAGTTAGAAGTTAATCAACTTTTTTTTAAAACGTTCGTTCTAGAATTGAAGTTTAGAAAAAAAGAATTAAAGAATTTTCTTATCTATTGTTTTCTAACACAAATATTTTTTTATACTTCGATTTTTCTTTCTATCGATAAATGATCTTTTTTAAATGAAAACCGTATACGTTTCTACTTTGTTAGTTAACTATTAAAAGTACTTATAAATCAATTAATAAATAGTTTGAGCCTTTAAGAACGTATGAAGGTTTATACCTTAAGCGCGTTTTTTTTTCTACATTTATAACTGCAAACTCTTTTTCTGAAAGATTTTTCCTAGTATTAAATAAATAACACACAAATTGAAAACTGTATGAAAATATTTGTTTTAACCCATTTGTGTGAAGTGTCATTTTAAATAAAAGTTTCCTTTTTTTTTTTTCAAAAAAGAGAAGAGCGTTAACAAAAGTGTACCATTATTAGAAATTATTTTGTAAACTAGGTAGCAAGATAGTTGTACAAAGAGCAATATATTATAATATAAACCTTTGGATACGAAATCAAAGCACGATGCTTTTTTTCAAAGCTAAAATAGTAGGTAACGTAAAGAAATGGCATTAACAATATGTTCGACCATTTTTTCATGCATAGACAACTTTTTGCTGTCCGGGCATTGATAATTTACTTTCACTACCACTTAAAATTAAGAAAATATGATAGTCAGGAGTAGTTTAACTTGTTTAATTTGTAGTAGTAGTCAAAATCATATTTAACCCCTTCCCGTGAAAATGACGGGGTGAGATTTCGCCCTCTATTTCTCGCTCCCGTGAAATTTCAAGGCTGGAGTGTTCAGTAGTAACGCTCCAATAAGAATGAAACTAATTCATTTCTTTTGCCCAGAAAACGTTTTATTTCTCATTTTACACACCAGATGGCAGTACCAAGATATTTTTAAAGTAATTGTAGATAGTTAGTTTATTTTGAACTAGATGTCAGCACTAATCAAATAAGTGTATTTGGCAAAATAGACACTTTTATGACCGTTTTCTTGAAAATTGATCGGTAAGGGGTTAATCACATTTGATAAACCATTAGTTAAAATATATTAAAGCATAAATGGTGCCTTAGGCATTAATTAGGAAAATTCTTCCGGAAGATTCTTCAGTTTGGAAATCGAAACCTACAAAGATGAAAATCAAGGTGAATTTTTTTTTTTTTTTTTTTTTTTTTTTTTTTTTTTTTTTTTTTTTTTGTAACTACCGCTTTACTATCAAAAATGGCAGCTGTTTGTATTCATATCTAAACATAGATTTCCAAAGTATCTCGCTCCCTTTGCTAAATGTATCATAATTAAAACAATATTTTTTAAACTTTTTTTATCTTTCTTGTTTAAGAAATGACTCAAAATTTCAGGGCATTAAAATGCTTTGAAAATTAATTTTAATTATGCTATGAAAATTCAAAAAAATAAAAAAAGTCATAGATATATACATTTTTATAGATATATACATTTAAAGCAATTTACAGGACCTTGCATATAAGTGATTTATAAGACTGCCATCGACGATTAATACATTAAAAATAGATCTATAATTATTTAAACCACTACGATGTTAGATTAATTCAAAAATGCATTTAAAATACTCGATAAATTTCTTAGAAGATGTTATGTGTACATGTTATGTAATCTCTAGGGCGTGTTGTTACGTACCTGAAAAATAAAACACAATAAAAGCCTGTGCACTTTTTATTTGTATTAAAAATTGGCATATTTCTTTTTTTTTCATTCCCTACTTTTGAAAACAAAATATATCGGCAAATATGAACACTAAAAAGTTCTAAATACTCTTAAAATTCTCAGAGAACTTTAATTTTTAGAAAAATAGCATACTAAATAATTTTTGTCCAATATTCAAATTCTGAACTTTTAACGAAGAGTAACAAACTTTCTACCCTACCAAAACAAAAGAGAAGTTAATATTCCAAAATCCAGCAAATCTGTTAAAATGTGTGATTCTTCTTTGCTTGCTTTATAAACGACATGACTGCCATCTATTGTTACGTATAGAAATTTAACTAAATAAAGTTATTGTAAATAAAAAAAAGAAGCTTTCAAGATAATTTTATAGCATTTCTAATTTTATAAAATCATTAAAAATTTAAAATTGTTTACTAATTATTAAAATTACTCAAATTTACGTTGTTTTTATAAATCCATTTTACATAATTCACTTAATTTAATTTTCAATTGTTCAAATTATTCAATCACACATTATTAAAAGAATTAATTCAATTAATTCAATTTTCATTAATTCAATTTTCAAATGTTCACACATTTCTGTTTAACTTTGATCAAATTATTAATTTTTACGCAATGAAATGTTTGACATTTTCATACTTTGAATTATTCAATTTTACAATGTTCACATATTTCTGTTTAACAATGCTCAAATTATTAATTTTTACGTAATCAAAATGTTTGACATTTTCATACTTTGAATTATTCAATTTTACATTGTTCACACATTTCTGTTTAACAATGCTCAAATTATTAACTTTTACGTTATCAAAATGTTTGACATTTTCATACTTTGAATTATTCAATTTTACAATGTTCACACATTTCTGTTTAACATTGATCAAATTATTCATTTTTGCGTAATCAAAATGTTTGACATTTTCATACTTTGAATTATTTAATTTCACAATGTTCACACATTTCTGTTTAACATTGCTCGAATTATTTAATTTTTACGTAAACAAAATGTTTAACATTTTCAAACTTTGAAATATTCAATTTTACAATGTTCATACATTTCTGTTTAACATTGCTCAAATTATTAATTCTTACGTAATCAAAATGTTTGACATTTTCATACTTTGAATTATTCAATTTTACAATGTTCACACATTTCTGTTTAACATTGCTCAAATTATTAATTTTTTCGCAACCAAAATGTTTGACATTTTCATACTTCGAATTATTCAATTTTACAATTTTCATACATTTATGTTTAACATTGCTCAAATTATTAATTTTCTCGCAACCAAAATGTTTGACATTTTCATGCTTTGAATTATTCAATTTTACAATGTTCACACATTTCTGTATAGCATTGATCAAATTGTTCATTTTTACGTAATCAAAATGTTTGACATTTTCATACTTTGAATTATTTAATTTCACAATGTTCACATATTTCTGTTTAACATTGTTCAAATTATTAATTTTTACGTAATCAAAATGTTTGACATTTTCATACCTTGAATTATTCAATTTTACATTGTTCACACATTTCTGTTTGACATTGATCAAATTGTTCTTTTTTACCTAATCAAAATGTTTGACATTTTCATACTTTGAATTATTCAAGTTTACAATGTTCACACATTTCTGTTTAACTTTGATCAAATTATTCATTTTTACGTAATCTTTGATTTTTCATTCTTTGATTTATTCAATTTTACATTCTTAAGATGTTCAATCTCTCATAACCTTTTTTTTTATATTCGTTCTTAGATATACGTGCACTTCACTTCCTTTAACCTTGAAATGCCCAATAACTGTGATGAAAACTTTGTGCAAATATTTGAAGGCGGACCAAATCCTGACAATGTGATGATCACTTTCTGCGGTACAACGGCCGAACCTCTAAAGACGAAGGGCAACATAACACATATTCGGCTATTCACAAGTCACAGAGCATTCAACAATACAGATTTCAAAGTTCATTTCACGACTTACAGAGAGCTCTCACCTCTAATTAAGAATGGTAAGAGTATTTTTTCTGTAATTAAACACAGATCCTGACTAAGATACACGGGTTACCATAAATATTCTTTAGTAGTCCAAACGTAATGACATATTTCGTATTTTCAACCACTGCGCAGCTTAGTACCCCGAACGTAATGACATATTTCTTATTTTTCATCAACTGCGCAGTTAACTTCGTCACATCGGACTACTAATTTGATCCGTGCTGAGGCCTTCCTTATTCTAGGAGGTGTTGGGCAGTCGCCCAGGGCCCCACATCAGAGGGGGCTCCCAAATCGAATAGAAAGTTTATTTTAGGTTTACTTCTTTAATGAACTTTTTTAAGCAAAAAATCAGTACAGTGTAAATTCCGTCAGTTTTATGTTAGCTCCTTTATTAATCTATCGTATGAACACAAAAAATCTATATTTTGTAAATCCATGACTTTCTAGAGCGGAATTCAGTTAAATTTTCGCAATTACGGTGGACAAATTTGGCCAATCAAAAGCCTTTATTTTCTCATATCGCAAAATGCAATATATTTACAAAAATGCAGGCTTCTGATTGGCTTAATTGAGCCATCATAATTGCAAGAATTTCGCTAAATTCCGCCCTAGTGTCAGTGTTTAAGATATTAGAGATATCGAGAGATGATGAAAGTTATTCGTAAATTAAACTGTAAATAAATGACGGACCATGTGTCTTTTTATTAGTTTATTTAGACACAAAGATGACATAGAAAAGGTAAAGGTAGATATTGGGGAAAATTCCCGCAAAGAGAAAGCTGCCGTTCTCTTAAACATGAAAACATCATCTGCTCTGCAAAAGCGCTCGTAACAGTACGCGCATGCGCGGACAGTCAGCAAGGGTATAAATTTTTTACAGCTAGATGACAAAGTTTACAATCAGAAAACTTTATTCGGCATGATAGACATAGAATTGTCAGAAAATCAATAAAATGGACAGAGCAATATTTCGTCTGACCGTTGGAGGGGGAAAAGGGGACTTCATGGCTATTTTAGGTTTTAGTCAATTTTCTTGTTATATATGTATAATAAGGTAAAAATTTAAATACCTCCATAAAGTTCGGTTCTTTATAACTGAAGTAATGAAGTAGAGAGGACCCCCAAAGAATTTTTTGCCCCAGGCCCCAACTACGCTAAGTCGGGACAAAACTGTCGTTATAAAGTACGGGGTTCTATCCCAGGGAAGTTCACCCAGCTTTGGATTGGAAGGTGCCAACTTGTCTGTGAAGTAAAGGCGGTAAGTGTGCAATACTGATCACATTGCCACTATGATGCCGTCTGTCACGAAGTAGTGAAGCCTGAACCTCCAGGATCCCATTGACCAAAAAAATGGCTGTTGAGAAAAATACTTTAACCCTTTCAGGAGCGGAGGGATAAAAATTGTCCAACTTATTTTGGAAAACAATGCAAACCACTAATATTTTAATAGTTTTTGTCTCTTAAACAAACCATGCAAATTTTCTTTTCTAAAAGTAAAATTCAAAACTCCTTATTATTATTATTTTTTGATTTACAATATTTTTACAGTAAAAACTGAAGCATTCCCGTTGCAGTCCGTTCTGGGCTCATTGAAGTGATATAGGTATAGTTTCCCGAACATCAATTATGCGTCATTAGTAGTAGTTTATCAGTACAAATCAGTTGCATGGGAACATAATCGACTACAGTTTCAGCAGGGTGGATACAAGAAGCTAGGGAAGATGAAAGGACAGGGAGGTAAACTTCTATAGGTTAAACCTTTAATAAATCTTCGCAATAACTTCATCAATTTATAAACATCCATGGTGAGCTATTGTCATTATTCCACTATTCAAGTAATCATTTCTCATCGAGTGTACTTATAATTATTGACACAAAATTTCTAAGCTCTATGACCAATTTTTTAGGTAGGTAAAATTTTGAAGCACCTTCGCGCCGAAAAATGGTATGAAATATTTAATGTGTAATTTTAGAATTATTTTATAATTTCAGAATTATGGTATAATTTTAGATTATTCTCTAAATCCTCCCGGCAAACCAGGAAAGCTGGCAGCTGTTCTATAAATAAGCATTACTGGATAGAAAATTTATGTTATCAGTAGTGTCTAACAATTTTCTTAGTTTGATTATATTTCTTCGTTTTAATTTTAAAATCGCTTCAACATCAGTCCACAAAATCTAACTAAACAATTTGCACAACAGCTTTCTTTTGTTCCAGTGAGGTCGAAATACACAATTATTTTCTCTTGTAGATGACTGTGATGCCAACACAGAATTTAATTGTGGTGATCAGACCTGCATTGATCTGTCATTAAGGTGCGATGGACAGAATGACTGCAAATATAGATACGATGAAGAAAACTGTGATAAAGGTTAGTGGACTTTTTTTTAACCCGTATCTTCGGAACCTTAAGGACAAGTTTGTATTAGATACACCCTTGTGCAAATTAATTGAAACAAACTCAATAAATTCAGAAAACTAGGAGAAAATGCTATTTTATTTAAATTTATACAAACTCAAAAATTTTTAGTACATAATATAATCTCCACGACACTTTATTAACATTTGGACACGATTCGGCATGGATTCCACTAATTTTTTACAGTCATTTATAATATTTGTGTCCTTGTACCACACATGAACTAACGCCGTGATTAGCTTCTCCATAGTTGTACAGTCCATATTTAATAGGCGATTCTTGCATATGGCCCAGAGATTCTCAATTGGGTTGATATCCGGAGAGTTCTCTGACCATTCCAATGTCTCAATTTGATTCTCAGACATGAATTTCTTTACAATTTTGGACGAATGGCAAGGAGCTAAATCCTGTTGAAAAATCCCTGTTCCATCAGGGTATCGTTTCTTCAACTCTGGAACAACTTTTTTACCCAGAATAGTAATGTACTGCTCAGAACACATCATACCGTCAATAGGCTGCAAAGGTCCAACCCCATTGCAACCGAAACAACCTCAAAATATCTTCTTTAAAAAACACGAAAAAAAAAGTTTGTTTCAATTAATTTGCACAAGGGTGTACATTTAAAGTACAGTAACCAAAGCTAATGGATTGAGAACCGTATAAAGCTCAGCACATGTAGCAGTTCAAAATTCATTTTAAGACTTCCCAAGTTACAATTTCCGACTTATTTAACGCATAAGCCGACGCACATGCTTATAACAATTCAATAAAAAAACATGCCATCCTCTGTTGTTATTGTACTTGTACTGTTAACAATATTGCAAACCCTAGTTAACATTCAAAAAGTTAATAAATTTAACTTGATGAAGAGATTCTTATCTCTTGAAGACAACTTACAATATTACTTGCCCTAGTTACCATTCAATGCGTAAATCCATTTAACTTAGCTGAAGAGATAAGAAATTGAAGACAACTTACAATTTCTCCTTAGCTATTTACCATTCAATGAGTAAATCATTTAACTTAGCAGATTGAAATTAAAAAGCAGTCAAAATGACTTCCTTGGGCAATCTAGTGTTAAGAAAATATGAGAAAAATACCAGTGGATAAAAAACTGAAGACAACACACGAGGATTAACACTGGCACCATTTTCCATTCAATGCGTAAATTCATTTAACTTCTGAAAGGATAAAAAACTGAAGACTACTAGGAATAACACTGGCCCTATTTTCCATTCAATGCGTAAATTAATTTAACTTAGCAGAAGGGATAAAAAACTGAAAACAACACACGAGGATTAACACTGGCACTATTTTCCATTCAATGCGTAAATTCATTTAACTTCTGAAAGGATAAAAAACTGAAGACTTCTAGGAATAACACTGGCCCTATTTTCCATTCAATGCGTAAATTAATTTAACTTAGCAGAAGGGATAAAAAACTGAAGACAACACACGAGGCTATTAACACTGGCGCTATTTTCCATTCAATGCGTAAATTCATTTAACTTAGCAGAAGGGATAAAAACTGACTTTTGATCATTTAAGGAGGAATTTCTTAATATTTAGGAGGGGGGCCGCAATGTCTCAGGGGATAGAGCGTTCGCCTTCCAATACGACGAACCGGGTTCAAATCCCAGTCGATACGAATTCCGCATCCGGCTTTGCACCGACCACAGTACTAACGTGAAATAATCTCAGTGGTAGACGGATCATGGGTTAGAGTCCCCTTGCCGTCAGGCTAACCGTGGGAGGTTCTCGTGGTCTTCCTCTTTATGTACAAATGCGGGTTAGCTCCATCTAAAAGTCCTCCACGAAGGCAAATTTCTTCAATACTCGATCCAGGATTACATTGTCTTCTGGATTGGGTTCAAAATTACAAGGCTACGGAGCTGAACATTAGTAGGCGTAAACCCATAAAATTGGATCGACTGTTCAACGACGGTTATAAAATAAAAAAATGAAAGATTTGGGAGATATTTTTAATTAACTAAATCTTGATGAATTAATTCGATATTACTTTAAAATTAATTAAAATATAAGGTTAATTAACAGTTCGAGAAGAAAAGGAACTTTTCATATTTCATATTTTTTTAATGCCCTAACTGCATACTCTTCTCCTTTTAGCTTCAATATCAATAATTACAATTATCGTATTGTAATATCATATTAAAAAAATTATTTTTTATAAAAAAAAAATTAAAGAATACATACCGTAATGAAATACTTCATTTTTGTGACTACTTTTGACTCATCACAAGATTAATACCCAGAGAGAGTATTACTAAATGATACATAATATATGATAATCTTACAACATAGCAGATATATAATTAGAAATATATAAAATTTTAAAAATTCCTTTTTGTACCCATGAAATTAATATAACGTTAATACATAATTTTTTTTTTAAATTTTTAGTTACATTTGAATAAATGTTTGGTTATATTAAATTAAGGCTCAGCGACCTGAATCGAATTGGTCGTTAACTTGATATAATTTTTAAACAAAACAGCGCATCACTGCTTTATGTGTCCGTTCTGTTTTGTATTGCATTCTCAGAAAGGCCATTTGGCTCAACGTGTTCACTGTGTTTACAGTGAATAATGAAAAGACAGTAAATAGTAAGGATAGAAAGTGTAGTTCTATTAATAATTATTATAAGTTGTAAATATGTGAGATGAAAGTAATAAAATCTTAATATTCGAATAAAAATCGTTATACAGCACTTATTACCTTGTCAGCAATGTACTAACTGCGAAATGTAAATCCAAATGATGATTTGCGAAATAAACTTTATATCGCTATTCTAACTAAATGCTAACACCAACGTAAGTACTGGGCCAAAATAGCCTGGTCGGTAGGGCGCTGGGCCCATGCTCGAGAGTTCATGGGTTCGAACCCCGCTGTTCGAAGATTCTCTGTGTAGTAAATGGTGACTGATGCACGTTAAATCTGTCGAGTCGCAAAGTCCTCCATGTTCCCATAACAAAACAAAAACTCTGGGGGTACTGAATTGGAGATTGATCGTTCTCTGATTCAGGTCAAAATTACGATCTGTGGATGAATGAATAGATGTATGAATGGGTCCACCCTATAAACGGGTATGACGTATGGGTGCGGCAGAAGTCGAATTCTTGGCCATAGATGGCGCCACTGGAAAAAAAAGAACAATTGCGCCCCTCTGCCTTAACAGGCATAAGAAAGAAGAAGAACGTGTGTACTATACACCACTCCTAGCAACAAGAACAAATAGCAATAAACAAAAACAAAAAAGAATTTAAATCAGGACTGCCAAAAAAAACTAGTTCTTTCTTAGTATAGCAACCATGTTCTTTCTTAACAATATATCTATAAATAAACTCACTAGAAACTCACTTCAACATACTAGAACTACTTAATAACTTATGAAATGTATGAAAGGAGTTCGGGATTGGTTTTTGTTTGCATTTGTACTGAGAACGTTATCTTATAACATTATAATTTTTGTATACCTTGAATTTTACAGCCATGGGAGCTGCTATGGTGCTAACCTCAGAGCACATGATCATCATATTGGTGGTGTTTTTTTCGTTGGTTATTGCTATGTGTGCCTCGATTTCCATTTCCTGCTATAACAAAATAAAAGAAAGGCAGGTACGAGAACGAGAATACAAGCAAAGGCGATCGAAAGAAGCATCCGTTGAAGCCACAATTGACCGCAACCTCCGAGGTCATTCCACCCCCGACAGAATCAGTGACGTGCAAAAGAGAATGCCACCACCAGCCGCCACTGCTTCTGTTGCCAACTTCGAACAAGCTGGACCAGGGGGTAGAGCCATCAGGGACTTCGCCGATGATGAAGAGTCGTCTGATGGTTGTTACGTCCCGGAAGTGGATCTAAGTGTTTTCAAACACCCCAATGGTTAGAAATATTATATTATATATTATTTAACATTTTCTACCGTGTTATGAAGCAATTTTTAATTTACCGCTACAGCGTAGAAATCATTTATACTACAAATTATCTAGATAACTGCTAGGTGATACGGTAAAATGCCAAAAAGGCTATTTCATTTCCCAAATTCCCTAAGTAATCTGCAAACTACATAGATAATCTGCGCATTAGCTAACAGACACTCGTTAAAGTAAAAAAATAAGATCTTTGCTGGAACAACAGCGAGATTATTTCTGCACTCCAAGATCTCCTCCCAATACCTCACACCACTCACAGAGTCTCTTTCAAAGACATGAAAAGGTGTGTGGCCATCCGGCATAATGCCTGCCCAGACCATTAAACCTGCTCCTCCATAATGGTCGATTTCGCGGACATTGGAGGGTAGGTATCGGGTCCCTGGTTCTCTCCATATGAACGTACAGCGAGAATTGATGCGTAGACTGAACCGGGACTCATCAGGGAAGAGAATCCATTGATCCATACTTTAATCTCAATGCTCTCTGCATCATGCTGACGGGCTTTCCTGTTCGTAGAAGCGACCGGGACGCAAACAGCTGGTCTTCTTACAAACAACCCTCTCTCGTGAAGTCGTTTGGAAGCAATCACTCTTGATACACTGGTTCCTGTGTCTGCATGCAAGTCACGAGAGAGCTGAGAAGCTGTAGCCCCTCTGTTACGCCTCACTATAATGGACAAATGGTGATCTTCTCTGGCCACCGTGGCTCTTGGACGACCTTGCCTAGGCTTTCTCTCGACGGAACCGGTATCCTGGAACTGTTGCACATGACGTTAGGCGTTAAATTTAACTCTCTGCAAATCTGGACCAGAGATTGGCCTGCTTCTAGCCTCCCCACAATTCGCCACCTCATTCCATCATCTAAACGCTGGTGCTTATTCATTTTTACTCTTGCAATTTGAATTTAACCTATTGCTGCTAAATAACACAAAGAAATTTTCCGAGGTGTGCTAACAAGCGAAATGCGACTTAACTTACGCACACTTCTAAAGCCTGTTTCTCAACTGGCTCCGCCTAGACACACGTGTACGCTTACTTATTTGATGTACAAGATTTGCATTTTTGTCTAGAACCAGTAGTTTTACATTCAGTTCAGTTCTTTTCATGAAATTCGATAAAATATGCAAATTCTCTTAATTTATTTCACATTATAATTATTATAATTAAGGGAATTGGCATAATGTTATTTAATTTTCAATATCTTAATATAGCCAGTAATCACAATCAAACATTCAACAAATTAGTTGATAGAATAAGAGAAACAAGCTTTTGAACATTGACGATATGGAAACCATAAGTTCGGGTATCACTTAAGTAAATTTCATAAGACATCCATTATTTGTTATTAATTTTTAAGTACTTTTTTCTTATTATTAACAGGTGGAGAAACTATACCCAAAAAGCCTAGAGCTGCCGCTTACCAGCAACCACCATATCCCTACATTAGCGAGAGTTTCGAAAGCCTTGAGAGTGACGTAATTGTACCACCAGCTCCACCACCAGTGCCACAACATATGAAAGATCGCCGTGACGTCTCTCCACCACCGCCAACATATAGAATCGTTGGCGGAAAAGTTGTTGCCAATCCTGCTAAAAATGAACCAACTTTAGAACGAATGCAAAAGCAACCTTTAGGATCTAGCAGATCTACTCTAGACAGTAAAGGTGGTAGTAGTTATGGACGTTGGCCGCCAGATAGTCGTCCTAGTTCTACTAAACCAGCTTCTGGACCAGCTCCTTACACTGGTTTCAAATACCCAGAGAAACCAGAAACTTCTATGAAGCCAGAAAAAGACACGCCTGGACCAATAGATAAATCGAATTGGCTAAGGGGCCCATTGGAAGCTGGTGTTCCGAGGTCTGCTTTCTCTCGTTCACCGGGAGAGATTGGCCTCCCTAAATTCGGAATGGCTAGAGTCACTCCTGATGGACCTAGAGGACCACTTGCCTCAGCCAAGACAGCGCCCACATCAGAAAAGGGTGTACCTTTAGCAACATTTAGGAGTCCATATGAAGATGCTCCCTATGGTCGAGGTGGTTACCGCCCACCCGCTGTTAGGAATTACGCAGCTCGTAACAATCCAGAAATAGAAACTATGAAGACGCAGGCTAGTATCGAAACAGGTGACAAAGACTCAATGAGAGCACAAAGCGCCGCATCCACTTTGTCGGCTCCCGATGTTATAGCTAAACGTTGACTTTGACTTGTTTATTAAGAGATCTCAAGCACAAAGCTAGTCAAATTATGACTGTGTTGAAAGACGAACTTTCTGCCCACCGTTGGCAGTGGAAGTTTTCACACTGCATTACACAATCGGACTTTTTCATCGCTCCTTCTTGGTTATCACAAACTTCGGTAGTGCATTACACAATCGGACTTTTTCATCGCTCTTTCCTGAAGATCACAAACTTCGGTAGTGCATTACACAATCGGACTTTTTCATCGCTCCTTCCTGAAGATCACAAATTTCAGTAGTGCATTACACAATTGAACTCTTTCATCGCCCCTTCCTGAATATCATAAACTTCAGTAGTGTAAATTACCTCTTAATTTTCATTTTATTTTTTAAACATCAAGTCTTCCTGGCCCATTTCACTATAAAGACTCCATTCATCGCAGAGACATTGGTCGAACTCTCAAAGTTCGATAGATGCTTCGTACATTCGTACGTTGTACTCAGGCAGCAAACTTTTTACTTCTTTTTAAATACGTTCTTAGTTCTTGTAGTTAATGTCCAATGCGTCGTTTAGTGTCAGTTGTTAAATAATTTCTTACCAAATATCATATGTGTCTTAAAGAGTAATATACCAGCAAACGAAGCTGAGGAACTAACTATTCATCATGATTTGAACAACCCAATGAATAGGTGTTTGAACAATGAACTATGCTGTGTACATGAGATAAATATTTTGAAAATATTTGAATCAAGCAATGTCTTTAATGTGCGATACTAATTGTTATTGAGTGGAGATGTTTGCAAGATTGTTGCGATTGTTGCGCAGGATGACGAAAGCGGAATTGAATACTGCCGTTGCTAGATAAATGAATACAAGGTTGTACTTGTTTGATTAAACATCCACCAGCAAAGTGGTTCAACGATGACTACAAAACAAATTTATTTATTAGTAATAATAATGTTTACATTTATATATTCTGATGTTTATTATGCTATTTTCGGTGCAGATAACTCTCTCACCAATCAAAATGTTAACAACTTAGAAGTTTTATGTGTACATTATTTTAATAAAAGAAACCTTTAAATGATATTTTTTTACGATTTCTTTAAGTAAGTTCGAAGCCAAAGAATGTTTCCACTATTATATACTGAAATCGAATTCTTTATCACCTAGAGCTTTGAAATTCCAGAACAAATTCTGAGGGTAATAATTTCAACAACAAATTAATACCCTCAGAACGATACAAAAAATTTTATGCGTCTGCTTAATATCATCCACGCACGAATATTCCAACACGACATAGTATGGACCAGACTAAAGTTTAAAGCTTTGCTACAGACAGTTTAAGCCCTGAATCCTGCATGACAGACCGCAGATATAAAGGTGTGAGGTGCACAAAATGGTGGAGATCTCTTCTGAAAATTTAGATGATCAGAGGAAAACGTTTTAAGTCGGAAGAATATTCCTCGAGTCACTCAGAAGCAACTCTTGACATGCGGGTTGTCACTTTGTCCTACTGGAATTCTATAACCCCATCGGTGTGTACACGACTGGGTGCAGGTGATCAGACAAGATCCTTACATGTCTATCAAATGCCAGAGTCTTATCTAGACATTTCAGGAGTCCCATATCAGACCAACTGCGCAGGCTCAATAGTATAACGGAGCCTCTATTAGCACGATCATTCTCCAGTAAGCATGTAGGGTCCATAAATTCATTAGATTTTCTCCTTAGCCGTACACTTCCATCCGCTCGATACAATTGGAATGGGACTCTTCAGACAAGACAGAATATTCACAGTCTCTTGGCCTGACCCAGGTGAGACGTGAAGTTTTGTGACGTCTAAGACGCATGTGAGCGTCCGATTTTAAAAGATCTAATCAATGATGGTATATTGAATAGTTCGCACTATTACACTTGTTGATGCCCCAGCATTAAAATGTGCTACAATTTGAGAGAGAGTTGCACATCTTTCACGTTTAATGATTCTCGTCGCGAACTTTTTTTCCTGCCGCAGAGACGTCGAAAATTTGATATTGTACCGGACACCCGATTTTCACTGTACCCTAGTAAAATAGTCGAACGCAAGAATACAATTTTCATCAATAAGTCAGAGATACTATGTCCCATCTCTGATACGCTGCTATGACAACACATCCAAACTCATTTAAATCTCGATAACCTGCAATTACATCGACAAAAAACGATATAATAACTTTGGTAGAAGCCTGTTCTTTCATATGGGAGTTATGCATTATGTTGCTTTGATTAGTTACATATTTCTGCCATTTGCACCTGTTTTACTGACTCTTAGGCAAAGGTTTCCTCTAAAACGTCTTAACTTCGAGACTTACTTCGTATTTCAGCGCATTGTATAAATTGATAATTTCATTATGATTTTTTAATTAAAATCGATATTTCCTACTTAATTGCTTCATCATAGTTTTGATCAGTTAATGTAAATTCTTTAATGCATGAAAAGTACATTACGTCATATATATGGTTTCATGTATAGAAACTTATCTAATTTCTTAAGCTTCAAACTATTATGAAGAGGACTTTGAAATTAATTATCTCTATTTAACAGTTTCGTGTAATTTCCAAAATCTTCCTTAATATGCAATTTCGATGAATTAATGTTTTTAGATTCCGAGTTAGGAGAGTAAATCAGTCAAATATTTGAAATGAGAAGGAAAAGAAATTGACAATATTTAATTGGTCCCCGTAATCAGCAAAAATTCGAGAGATTTTTCGATTCTATTACAGAGGCTGGAAAATGAAGTCTGAAATTAAGAATCTCTTGCAAAATGCAACAGGGTGAGAGCCAAAAATCCTTCCCACTGAATCCAGCTCAGTATGCGTAAGTGCGAACCCGCAAGTATTTCATGAAACATGTAAAACAAATGGTGTTTTCATACACTGCAGACCGGCGGTACGCCGAAATAGATTGAGGTTGAATTAAATGTGAAAACGTTGAATAGGACAATGTCTTTTTCAGGGTGCGTAGCCTGACAAAAAATAAGCACCTTTCAAGCACTCAAAAAATATTTTTAAGCACTTTGAAAAATATAATTAGACAGGGTTGGCTAGTTTTTGACAATTGATGGTTTTATCCGGTATTATTTACAGTGACGAAGACGATGGTTCGTCACAAACGATGAAATTAACAAGAGAAACGAAATTTTCTATCACTAATAGAGAAAAAAAAATTGACAATGGTCCCCGTAATCAGCAAAAATTCGAGAGATTTTTCGATTCTATTACAGAGGGCGGAAAATGAAGTCTGAAATTGAGAATCTCTTGCAAAATACAATATAATAATCTCTACGCGGAAATAGATTGGGGTTGAATTAATTGTGAAAACTTTGAATAGGACAATGTCCTTTTGCATAATTTGTGGCGAAAATCAACATAAGAAAAAAATCACATTTCTGAAAGGGGAAAATTAAGCACTTTTTAAAAACACCCACGGAAAAGAACACCTTTAAGGGCTTTTAAAAACGAAAATAAGCACCTTTAAGCACTTTTCAAAAACGCTACGCGCCCTGTAAAAGCCAAACGAAAGGAAATTTTCATGAAGAAAACTTTTTTTTTTATTCTACATACTTCTCTCTCTCTCTTTTTCCAGAATAGTTGCCAAGTTTGCTTAAGCACTTACAACTAAATTTATAATATCCACTTTATAGTAACTTGCCGTCTGCTCCGATAACCAAGATGTCACTACCGTTTTCACGTCTTCGTTGTACTGCTTGCCCCCCAAAATGTTTGAAACATCGGAAAAAGATGAGAATCACTTAGCGCAAGGTCTGAGCTATATTGAGGAGAGGTCCAAAACTTCCTAGCCAAAAGAGTCCAATAAAGCTAGAGATTATTAAAAAAAATATTTGTGAACCTTTTTAAAATTTCGCGACTATAGAATTGAGGATTTAAAAACCTAGCCTTTATTTTTAAAACTAGTTCTATCACACAAGATTTGATTTAGTCTTCTAAAAATAGTATAAAAGTATATGATCTCCAACCCACCCTTAAATTTCATGATACGAAAATTTAAGAAGTTTTCCTAAAACTTCAAAAACAACATATTTGATAGAACAGAAAGATATTATACTCAAATAACCTTCGTACTATTTCTGGATGGTCCCCCAGTTTTACATATCAAGTAATTTGGGTAAAAAGTGAAAATCCACGGAATTTAAGAAAAATAGGACTACAATGTAAAGGAAAAACTAATCACAATTTGCAATTACAGATAAAAGAATTTGTTTAAATAAAAAAAACTAGCAAATGTGATTTCCCATTTCTTAAGGGTTTTTTCCTATCAATTTTCAATTCCCATTCATCCAAATTCTCACCTTAACTCAGGGGATTATGCAAGATACCTTACCAATCACAATCTAAGCAACAGAATTTAATAAAATTTTTAGATCTTATTGATGACAAAAAAAAAAATTTTTTCCTGTTATTTAAGCCATAGAACCTGCCTTTACTTCGTAACAAAAAATTTAATTTTAACTAAGAAACTCTATCATTCAAATATAGATTTTTTAAATTTTAAACTCAAGATCAGTCTTTTCATATCTCTAATCAATGTGAGCTTTTGTCAGCTTTAAAGTCTTTTTGTTCCTTACTTTTATCAGTTGAATTGAATTTCAGTAAATTAATCGTTGTTTCGCAGATAAGAACTCAAATAGCTATCTTTGAGACATTTTTACTTTATTAATTTACAAGTTTTAAATTCGCATGCAAGGAATTAATACACTCCAACATCTTGATTTTGTCACTTTATTCGGAAAGCCGTACCAATATGGTCTGGAGAAATGAAATGATTGAAAGAAGCGATTTGTGGAAGCAGTTCTGGGGATTGACTTGAAATCGGGAGCCAAGGACGAAACTTTCGAGACACAGATAAAACCTTTGAAAATTAATGGCTGAATATAACGGTAAAATATTACTATAGAGAACGTATTTTTAATAACGTCAATTTTGTTAGTTGTTTTGTTAACGTCAATTACGCTTTTAAATGTGTTTAAAACAATAATTAGAAATGTAAGTACACTACACAATAAATCAAATAAAAGAAAAACCACTATTACTTTTATTATTATGAACAAAATGATGAAGGCTGCCACAGTGAGGGAAAGAACATATTTAAAGTAAAAAATAGTTTCACTAGTTTTATTTTTAGTATCTTCTCAAATTAAAAGTTCAACATTACTTTTTACAGATGGGCTGCACTCTCCCCTTCAACAAAAACTTTAAAAAAATAATTAGATTCAAAAACGTCTATAAGTTGCATAAAGAAAGTTAAAAAAATATTAATTGGCTAGGCTTATTAATAACTTACAAGTTTCAGAAATGTATGATGCAGGAACTAAAATAAAAATAATAACAGAAAACAACCTTGGGGAGCGGACAGCAGAAATAAATGTATATACAAAGGAAATTAAATGGTTTGTGCAATAAGTTTCAACAACTAAACAAAAGCCAAATGTTTTACCCACCATTTTGAAGTTTTTTTATTTTGGTATGCAAGCATTTAAAGATATTATTACTATTTTATGCAATGCACTCTGTAAAATAGTATATAGCAGTGGATAAAATGCAGCAAAAATGGATTAATGAAGTCATTAGTTTTTTTACAGTTAACTTATCTTTATAACACATCAGGAAAAGGTACGGGGTGTATAGTAATCATTGCCCATAATCTTGATTTTTTAGAATCCTTATAAAAAAAAAAGAACACAAGGGTTACAAATATTTAAAAGAGGAAAGAAAAACAGTCATTAATGAAGAAGACAAGATAAGAACACCAAAAGCTGTTTGATTGCAGAAAGAAACCAATAAAAGATAACTTTTAAATACCTCATTGACATAAAAGTGAGAAGAAAAAAAACAATCTGAAAATACCTATCAACTCAAATCGTGAAAACATAAAAAATATGAGAAACTATTTTGAACAAAAAGAAAACATTTAATTTAAATTACGTATAAACATATTTACTATAGGAGTACATTGAAAGTCAAAAAAAAAAAAAAAAAAACCAGAAGTAAGATANTCAAAAAAAAAAAAAAAAAAAACTTAAGATTTGTATATAGATAATTAAATAGAAGAATCTCACACCTGAATCTAAGTTTCATCCAGCAACCAAACTGGTTTAAGCGTTTTAAATCCTGCTTTTGAAGTTTTCTTCACTTTTTGCTAACATTGTAGAACCCAATGGTGCTTACTTTTTCTGCTTTTTAAACTTTGACAAGGGTTCTAAAAATATACATTCGGGCAAGTGATTACCAAGCACCTTGAATATTCTAAATAGTGTTTTTGAAAAAGCACAAGATTTATGAAATTGGCACAGAAGACTACAAACACATTTAAATTTGAGCATCAATAACAATAACTGAAAACGCATTTGAATTACTTCTAAAGAAAAACTATAGACATTGTTTCACATTTAAATGCAAAGACATTAGCACATGTTAATTACTAAGTGAGGATTGAAGAAGCAAAGTTAACTGTTATTTAACAAAAAATATTAGGAAAAAAGTTGTTGTAAATGATTGCACAACCAACTTCTGTTCATATATTTGTACAAGTTAATTTTCTCTTAAAAAATTTGACACTTATTTCAAAATATAAAATTTTCTTTCCAGCAATATATCATCTTACAGAAACATTCATTCCACTTTTCACAAATTTTTTCAAAATATTAAAAAGAAAAATCACTAATAGATCCTCCATTATCTGGGAATTAAAATTACCCACAGTGAAATTGACTCTTGTTTTTATTTACAATAAAATGATAATCCTTATTCAACAAAATCAGTACCATATAATGCACCGATGAGTTTACCAGGATTACATTTTACGAACATATCATGCTGCTGCATTGCATTTACAATGGAATGCCAACTTTTGGTGAAATTCTCAATCCTAAAAAGCATTATGACAATAGATTTAAGATACATAAAAAGATCAAATTTGGATTTTTTTTTAAATAAAATACATCGGTTATAGTATCCAACTATAAATATAAAAGCTGTATGACAGATGAGATTGTCTATTTTTGTTGAATCAAGATATTTTGTCAAAATACTATGAATAATTTAATCAATAAATATTTTTTTTTAAATTTTAAAACATTTTTACAGAAAGGCATGACACAAGTGAATCTTGTAAGAAAATTTTGCTAAATACGCAGCTGCTCGAGTGCAATTCTATTAAATTTCCTATGGTTGCTAAGCAACTAAGAAAAATTAGATAAAATGCTTTGATTTTTTTTCTTGTTAATAGCAATTTTCTCCACTGTTGCATAGCAACAAATTTGAGAGAAAAATTTGCCTCAAGCTTGCAATGCTCATTGAAATTCTAATCAATTTTTGTAGTAATCTAAACAAATACAAGTTTCACTCTAAAAACCACCATAAAATCTAGGTTATGTTTCAAACTTTTGACAATTTTATCTTCAAAGTCGATTACTTCAGAAACTTAAATTCATAGAAGTCGGCATCCATATAACAAAAGTTCATTTCAAAAGGTAAAATAACAGAATTCAGACATTATGTTGCAGTGCTAACACAAAAGACACAAGAACTACAAATTAAAGACTGGTTATTGAAGAAGCATGTGCAGCCTTCATACAAGTACTAAAAAAAAATTCATTACAAAACCACATAAAATTTCATGAATTAAACGTAACAGTAACTGATGTTATATGGGCTAAATCACTGATTCAACCAAACTTATTTATATTGGCTAAATCATGAACTTAATAGTAACTGAAGTTATAAGAGCTCAAAATTTACCACACATTTATATTCAATGAGGGGAGAGAAAAAAAATCTCTTTTAGAACAGGAGCATGCTTTATTTTTCTGGCCGAACAAAAGTAACAAAACCCAGAAAAGGGAGGACATATCAAACAGTTAAAACAAAAAAGTTATACAAAGTGAGCAAAAATGACCTAACAATTCGATATCAACATTTCAAATTCTAATTTTGTAGCTAACAAAAACTCATATCACACAGGTTACGATAAAAAGATACTCATGTTAGTTTTCTCACAAGCCATTATATTTACAAACTTTACAACACAATTCAGCAATGTTACACATACTGCAGGTATTGAAACACCACTGAAAGAAGGGAGAAAAAAAAATATACAAATTAACACAAGACAAATTTTGCACGTCAAGATAAGGACAACAGCTGCTTAAAATTAAGAGTGGAAGAAGACCAATCTAGGTCTAAGATTAAAATAATAATAAAACTCATTAAAATTTTTGCTACAAATTTTTACCTAATTTCAGGAAAAAATGCTTGTTCTAAATATTACTGTCCAGCTTTGCAACAGACAAACACTTTCCATTATTAATTACTAGAGGCTAGGACACTGATGATATGATTTTTCTAATTCTTGTAGTCTAAATATGTTCCAATAACAATGTTGATATTGATCCGAGTTTTTCAAGACCTAAAAATTCACTTATGGACAAAAGGTGCCCTTTCCATTTCATATTCCAAGACACTTTTTAATGCAATGCCTGATTTTCTTGAAGATTGCAATTTAAGATTATTCATTTATATTTTTCTTTATCAGGTATTAATAAATATTTTACTTTATACATAATTACATATTTTAATGTCTGCTTAACGCTTTTTATTAAATTTATTAATTCAGGCAACAATTTATGTTATTTTTTAAAAAAATAAGCTCTAATAAACATAGCATTAAACGACATAATCTTTAATCAAGGCGCATAGCCAAATTATTCAACAAAAAATAAGTACCTTTTAAGCACTTAAATATTTAAGCATTTTAAAAATATATTATTACGTAGGGTTGGAAAGTTTTTGACAATTGACAGTTTTATCCGGTTTTAACAGTCATGTTAGGAAAAAAAAAAAGGAAAAAAACCTTTTGGCATTGTTTTTGATAATTGTTAATATTTTTGAACCATGTAAATCGAGCAGCGTTTTCATATGCTACAGACTGATGGTGCGCCGAAATAGAGTGGGGTTAAATTAATTGTGAAAACGTTGAATAGAACAATGTGAACAGTGTTTTTCTGCATAATTTGTAACGAAAATCAACATGGTTAAGGAAAAATCTCAATTAGGAAAAGCGAAAATTAAACACTTTTTAAAAACACCCAATGAAAAAAGCACCTTTAAGGGCTTTTAAAAAACGAAAATCGAAAACAAGCACCAAGCGAAGCACCCTGCTGTTAATTTAAAGGTCATTAATTTGCTGGTTTACGAAGAGTTTTTTTACATTTTTAAAACATTTTATACATCAAAATCCTAGCCTTGTAAATATTAAATATTAAATTTATTAATTTGTATTAATTATTACATCTTAACCACTGATTAATACATCTTAAACACTGATTGCAATTGAAAATACTTATTAAGAATAAAACATTTTAAAAAAAAACAGGTTGCAAACCTTTGACATGCAAAATATGACAGTTTAAAATTCATATACTTGGTTCAACAGTTCTACAATTATATCATACAATTTAAACAGCCAAAAATTATCACAAGAGGAAAAAGATTCAAATGGAAGAGAAAACACAGGAAATGAGAACTGAATTTTTTTTTTATTTCTTTTGTTTGTAAAGGAAAAAAATAGGAGAACTTATTTCAGTATCTTAACAACAGTACATACATTAATTTAAATAATCAACAAAACATAGACTAGAACAGTTTAATGCTTTTGTGCTCATTAAGTTACATAGTGCAACTTACTTTAATTCAACATAGTTCTAGATATTTTAGAGCACAAAAATTACGCATTTAACATTTTGCTTTATATACTAAGACGGAGTATGAAGGACAAAAACTTAATTTTAATTGACATAAAATGGGTTTTAACATTATCAGCTATAGTTTAACATGAAGTGCTGAAGAGGAAATAAACACTCTCTCCTAATACTTTCTCTTTCCATTACGAAACTTAAGAATAAATAAACAAAAATGTTACAAAAAAATATGCAAAGGGGCGGATCACTATTAGATATTAAGTACACTTTTGTAACAACACATACCAATGGGATATTAACATTATTAATCATGAATTTTTTTTTTTTAAACAAAGATTTTTCTTCTATTTAGCAACATTTCAAACAAATGGCTGATAATGTAACATCATTAAAATTATAAAAAAAAGTAAAAGCACACACTAAAAACACTGGTTAGAACACAAACCATAATTGCAAGTCATCACTAACGAAGAATAGAATCAACAAAGTAAGTTTGAATTATTTATTTTATTTTTTATTTTATTATTTTTTTGCAGGTTGTAGTCGAAAATAAAAACTCAAAAACAATCCTAGAGAGAAATATTCAATTGTTTTCTAAAAAAGTAACAAAAATATTAAGTTTAGCAATTAACTAGGTACGTAAGATATATAATAAATATTTATAGAAATTGAAATCACACTAACAGCAAATTTAACAATTGATATTTTTCAATAAGAAAAAAAAAATCACATTTTGTTAGAATGTAACCTTTCTTGTCAATAAATACTCATTAGAATCTTGTACCTGGCTAATGCAAAAAATAAGAAAAAACTTACTAATAAAGCAATTTAAGAGAAATATAAAGATATATAAAAAAGATAAAAGATATATGCGTATCAAAACGTATGAAAAAAAAGAATGGTCTAAGTAAATGAAATTAACTTATCAATGAAATTGATGCAGAAACAAATTAGAAAAAAAATTTGAATTATTGAAATTTTTAATTGCTTAATCTTAATATAATACTTAACACTAAGCTTAGACTATTACATGGGCTAGCAATTCTGACAAGTATAGTTTGGTAACATAACAAGCATCCAAAAAAATAGTTACAAAAAAAAAGAGACTTTCTTTTATACATCACACTAGGCAATGTGAAGATTAAGTCATGATGAAGCAAAAAGGAAATATATATATAGTTTACAACATAAATTACATAAAAAAAATCACAACACACAAATATCAAAACAGTGGGGGGAAAATTCTCTTTCCAAATGATTTGAAATTTGATTATAGGACCGCACAACTGAAAAGCCAACACCCCGTTACAAATAAAGAAATTTTTTAAAAAAGAAACGCTACAGGGTTTGGATCAGTTTAAATATGAAACTAAAATGTTGACACTGATGAGGTAGTGAAAAAAACTCCCCAAAAATGCCCCGATTTCTGAATGCAACATAACTTTAAACCAACAGAAGCATTTTCATTTAAGTAGCAGCTTCAATGGGAAAAATAGATTGTGAATTATTTATACAGAGATGAGATCAGGGCGAAGCACCAGTCGTACAGAGAAATCACATTGCCGGTGGACAATATATATATTTTGTTTCAAAAAATTCTATCACAAATAAGATTTGTGATTTTTTTTCTTTAATTTTCTTCAATACAAAAAGATGAACTAGTGAAAGAAAAAAATGATGTCATCTAACTTACATTTATGTATTCACGTCATTTAACTTACATTTATGGATTCACGTGGCACCCTCGAAGCTCTAAGAGAAATATGCTTCATGCACATTTAACATACCATCGTTTTTAGTTCTTTTTTTATTAATTATTATTTCCTAAATCAGTTTATATCAAGATGCACCCAGTTTTTGGCAACTTGGGGATGTTGGATTTAACCTTCCATCACTCCCCCTCAACGGAGCACATATTTATTTTTGTTTTAAAAAAGAAAATGAAAAATGATTTGTGAATTCACATGAAAGCAAAAAACAATGTGGTTTTAAAGCACTTTTCTATATACACTCCTTTTCTTCACTTTTTTTTTAATGATATTTGAAGATTTATGTCCAGCAAATGAAACTAGAAAGCTTGACATAGTTTTAAAGGAAATGAAACACAAAGTGTCTGGTAAATTGAAGTCCTATCCAGGCACATATTGTCAGGACCGAATCAGTAAAGACCATACATCGTGATAACTAAATGTCCTTTTGAAAAATTAGGGTATTTTTTTTTATTAAAAAAAATTAACGTCGGGGAGCATAGCTTCCTCTGATGCCTCCTCTGTTGTCCCCTCGGCCAGTGCCCTGAGACATCATGCTACCGCGAGGACCACGGCCACCGACTCCGACACGGGGTGAAGGCCCACTTCTTGGAGGACCACCCCTATTATCACTAGAAATCATTCGATTATCTTTTGGTCGTTTCTTTTCTTCTACATTCAAGCGATGATCATTAAAATAGATGGGCTGAAAAGATAAAAGAAAAAGCTTTAATGAACTTGAACTTTTTAATGACTTTCAAGGACTTAAAATCAAATTTTTCAAGGACCTACTCAGTAAAGGTTAGAATGGTTAAATACGTGTCAAACAGACTTTATTACACTGAAGCATATATAAAGTGTATCAATTTTACATTGTTTAATAGTTGTGGCAATTTTTTACTATGTGTAGCCCACAACTATCAATGCAAATGGTTTGATAGTTATATTGTAGTTTAAATCAGTTGGGAGATTCACAAAAAATTAGCAATTGACATTAGCATACATAGACTGGCACCGGCAAAACTTTTCATACAAAATTTAATGAATTTAATGAATACAGAATTGAAAAATATTTTGCATAACTGCTTCAATTTCAAAAACACAATAACTCTTTAATACCTTTGAATGTTGGTAATGCATTTTGGACGTAAAATCTTGTAGTACAATATTTTGACAGATACATCAAGATTTACCTAACTTTATTTTCTTTCATATATTGCAAAATATGATTCTTTAAATTTTGTGAATATGATTCATTATGCCTAGTTTTTAGATTATGTGTATACGAATTGTGATAGAATACATATAATTCAAATTACATGAAATGTGAAGCAATCCTTGAAGATCTGATAATATGAACTACTTTTAATGGGAAAAAATTTTGTGTGCCAATGTTAGTTAATGTTAAAAAAGATTTCACTAAAGCAATTTTATTAATAAAATTTTAAATCAAAATTTCCTGTTCAACAGGAATTTTTTTAGAATAAAAAAAATAATAACTTACTCGAGCCGCAAGAACTTTCTGCACAGAGTCTGCATCTTCAAAAACTATGAAACCGAAATTCTGAAAGAAAAAAGGCATAATTTAGAACAGGGTTCATAGCCAAATTATACAAAAAAAATAAGCACATTTTAAGCACTTTTCAAGTACTCAAAAAATATTTTCAAGCACTTAAAAAAATATAACTAGGCAGGGTTTTAAAGTTTTTGACAATTGACAGTTTTATCTTGTTTTAACCGTCATGCCAAAAAAAATAATAAATTTTAGCATTGTTTTTGACAATTGTCAAAAATCATGAAATTTTGAATCATGTAAAATGAATGGCGTTTTCGAAGGCTATGGACTGACAATACACCGAAATAGATTGGGGGTTAAATTAATTGTGAAAAAGTTGAATAGAACAATGTTAGCCGTGTCTTTTCGCATAATTCGTAGCAAAAATCAACATGGTAAAGGAAAAATCTCATTTTGAAAAAGGGGAAACAAAGCACTTTTTGAAAACATCCAATGAAAAAAGTACCTTTAAGGGCTTTTAAAAAACAAAAATCTAAAATAAGCACCTTTAAGCACTTTTTAGAAACGCTATGCATCCTGTAAAAAAAAACATAATTTACAGCACAATACTCTAATGCAGTGTTTCCCAAACTTATGACTTTTGTGTACCCTTTCTAAATTTTTCGTAACGCTGTGTACCCTAATAAAAAAATTTATGTACTTTTTACTATAAAAAAATTTGCACAAAAGTTAAAAATTGCAACTGCCTTTTGACAATACTAATTATTAACTGTTAACTCAGCAAAAAAATAACCAATAGAAAAATGCTTAATTTTAAATTTTCATGTAGAGCTTTGCTTTTAAATAAAATTTTTGGAAATTTTCTTTTGTTGTAAGATATTCGCATAAGAACGCGTACCCCCGCTAAACTGTTCCCGTACCCCTGGGGGTACGCGTACCACACTTTGGGAAACACTGCTCTGATGCAACAAACAAAAATAATAGATAAATAATTTTACAGTACTTACAGGCACTTTCCCACCGCCAATCTTCTGCGGTTGCTTAGTATTAATTCTCATATCCAAAACCTTTCCAAATTGTGTAAAATGGGATTTCAAGTCCTCTTCGGTAATCGAGTGAGTGAGGTTTCCAACAAAGAGTTGTTGAGCATCAGGATAGTGGATAAAATTTGCCTTTCTTTTATCCGCATCAGAATCTTCAGGAGAACGAGCTGGGACATCGTGTCCACTGTTCTCAAAGCGACCTGACCCACCCCTGCCAGAATTCAGGCGGGGACGCGACATACGATTTCCTTGCTGATTAAATCCAGAACCACTCTAAGATAACAAAAAATCATATAAATATTACATTCATCAAAATCCAGTCAACGTTTTTCATACATTTAGATTACCCTAAGCATAAATGTATTTGCAAATCTACCAAACATTTATTTTTTTATTTTTCCGAAATCAATTGTCGGGGTGAGTAACCAGATCATACAACAAAATATAAGCACCTTTTAAGCACTTTTCAAGCACTCAAATATTTTTAAGCACTTTAAAAAAATATCATAACTAGGTAGGGCTTTAGTTTTCGACAATCGACGGTTTTATCTTGTTTTAGCCGTCATAACAAAAGAAAAAGTTTAGCATTGTTTTCGACAATTTTCAAAAATCATGACATTTTTAATCATGTAAAACGAATGGTGTTTTCATACGCTATGGACTGACAATACGCGAGACAGGTTGGGGTTGAATTAATCGTGAAAACATCCACATGGTAAAGGAAAAATCTCATTTTGAAAAAGGGGAAATTAAATACTTTTTAAAAGCACCTTTAAGGGCTTTTAATAAACGAAAATCAAAAATAAGCACCTTTAAGCACTTTTTAAAAACTCTACGCACCCTGATTGTTATAAGACAACTAAAAAAAATTTAAGCTAGGTAAATGTTATTCACCATAAAGATATGTCTAGACATCTAGATATATATTATTTTATTTTTACCCCAAATCCCAACGATTTAAGTTCCTTTTGAATATACGTATATTTTAACCATTCAAGTAATAAAATATTGTTGAATATTCATATATTATGGATAATGATTCCACATCAAAAATAAAAATTTCATAAACTGCCAATAAGCAGGAAAGGAGATAGGCACTGGTTGAGATGGGAGTTGGTGGAAACTGACTTCCTTGTTATTTAGGAAAGAAACTGGTGAACAAGTGTCAAAAATTGAATGCATTGGAACAGAATCAAGAAGACATTGGCTCACTCTGGGCTGCCTAGACAAATATGATTATTCGTATTATACGTGTTCACTGGTACTAAACTAGGGCTAGGGTGTATGAAATTTGAAAAAAAAATGATTAAATATTTCCATACATCAGTTTTAAAATACCATCTAATTTCTAAGATAAAATTGAAGAATTTGTTCTTAATTTATGAAGAATTTGATCTTTATTTGGACACAATGTCTTAATTGATGAATTTAGATAATGCTCTTAACTACACGCATTAAATTACAAAGATTAATTAAAATATTGAACTTTATTTTAAATAGAGAAAAATAAAATTTTTGCAAATTAAAAATATTACCAGATTTCTCAAAAGTGATATCATTAGAATAAGATATTACAACTTTTTTTAAAGACTGATCAGTTTTTAAAAATGATTAAATTAATATGTAACCCATCATACCAACTTGGTGCCTACTACATATAAGAGTTGAAGGTAAGGAAAACACTAACTTCTGTCATACTTTATTTATATAACTTTAAAACCATAATACATCAAATTACTAAGCATTACTGATCACAATAAAAAGCAGATCAATACACTAGTCAAGAAACAAATAGACAGGACATACAAAAACAGTTTAAGCATTGTGCAAATTAAGATTCCGACAAAAAATAGGTATTTCTAAAAAATATTTTCAAACATTTTCTAAATACAGTAGAGCGCCAATTATTCGAACCGCTCGGGACCGAACGTGGTTCGGATAATGAAATGTTCGGATAATTGGAAAGTTGTTTAAAACCTAGTTTAAATGATTATTATTTATGCACCAACTTCCCTTCACACTTTTTCTAGGCTTAGGACTGGCAGTACTATCTAAAATAGCTCTGGAGAGCTTTTTTTTCAATTTTTAAATATATTTATTTAAACTTTTTTTTTCAATTTGAAACATTTTTATCATATTTCGGCTATTTTCTAATTTTTTTTTTCTTTTTTGTCAATTACTGATTTTACCACATTTTTCTTTATTTTCCATTGCAAAAGATATCCAGCAGACTTTTGTTTCAAAGAACATGCTCTTTTTTGTGCAGCCATATCCCTTATTCTTTTTAAATAAATCAACTGAATTGGATCAACATCATTTTGACGTTCTAGGCAATTCATTGCAATGTCTATTGAATTGCATGCTTCTTATGAGAAGGTCCACTATCTTGAACTTGATCGCGTACTTCTTTCTCTTAATCTGAGGAGTTCCGATTTTCATTCAAAATTTCAGAAACAATTTCACGATCATTTAAAATTTGAAATCCTGAGACGTTTTCAGTGTTTCGACACCAGTCTTCTATTTCTTCTGCTGTATAACCTGGCATATTTTCACCCGAAAGATCTACCAATTCACAAACTGCAGTTTCGTTTGTTTTTTCTAATAAGAATTTTATTCCAAGATTTAAGATTCCAAGCACTGTAATCACTAATCATTAACCATGAGTGACAACTACCCATCCCCCAATTGTAGAATTTCAGCACTTATCTATTCATAAACACATTCCGCTTTCCAACAATTCCATAGATTGTCAAAATGAAACTCGCATTCTTTGATGATAATTTTCAGTTGAAGAAGGCTAAAGGGGTATGTAGGTTTAACTGTATAACAATACATGTATGTACGGCTACTATAAGAAAACTGCTGAAAAAGGTTGTAAATTAAATATGGTCTTCAGATGTATTGGATATTATCTATTCCTCTAAATTTAGAAAAATTGTCGATAAGTTAAAAAAAAATCTAAACTTAAAAAAGAGAAGGGGAAAAAAAGCAATTTCGGATAATTGGACGTTCGGATAATAAGGGTTCGGATAATCGGCGCTCTACTGTATTGAGAATTTTTCTATTCTTAATAATAAAAAAAAATTCACTACCTGTTGAGGAGCAGAAGAAGCAGGAGTGCTATCATTCTTGTGATACACAGCAGGTTGTTCCACAGTCTTATGAGATGCAGGTAAGTTGGACACAGGAGATGTTGCATTAGAGGTCACAGGGTGACTTGGAGTCATAGCAGAGCTGGTATTCTTGCTCACCATATTCGCATAAGTCTTGGGCTCTGCAATACAAAAAAATTATTTTATTACAACCAAAAGTTACACTACTCACTTATCACTTAGACATGGTTTATATTTTTGCTGATGAGACATGATACTCTAATAATGTAAAAATCAATCAAATGTGTAATGTGCAAGGATCTGAGAAGTAATAAAATAAAACTTTTGGGGTGTGTTTTTTTTTTTTTTTTTTTTAAGATTAAATGTGGTGACAAAGTCGTTACATGACTTGTCTACAGCAGAGAGAATTTATATACCTATACAAGTACGGCATATCACGAGAATTTTCAAGTCATCGTCAAGATGCTCATATTAAAAATACAAAAATTATGTTTAAACCGAGTTAATTATTAGCCTGCCATGATTGATTAAATTTTTAACTACTTAAAATCAAATTGTATGCAATCAAAAATCACCGATTCCTACCATAGAAGATAAAATTAAAATCAGATTTTACAGGGTTACGACAAAGTTTCAGAAAAAAAAAATTCCAACTTTTTCAGTTATATCAGGAAATTCAATAAATATCCACATCCTATTTTATTCATACAGTTTTACTTTTCATCAGAAAATTAGCATAGTATATATTATATTTTTATTTGTACAAAATATTACATTTTGTAAGCAAAAATATAACAGAATGAAAATGGAAACATGGAAAAGTTTCACTAGAATTTTATAAAACAATAGATGTTAGAATTATTTAACTTAAATCCAAAAAACTGTTACCGATTATTCTAAAACTGGTTATTTTCCTGGTATAAAAATATTTGTAAAAAAAATTTCAACTTTCCCTGACTATTCTCTGTTTTTTAGAGTTAAAAGAAAAGTCCCTGACTTTTTTAGTTAAGTATTCTTTTGATTTGTTATCTATTAAACTAGTTAAAAATTTATAAGCAAATTATGTGATATTGCAACATTTCCAACAAGATATTTTGAAAAAAATATTTTTCAAAGTATTTGATATAGTGAACTATCATTTATAAGAGACATGTTGCTGGGTTTAGAAACAGTACACTAGAGACCATATTTTAATGAGTTTTGAAGCAATTCAGAGGAGTAGAACACAAAAACTACCTTGTGAAACAACAGGTGGATTTTCCATTATTTCAGGTGCTGTATCTTCTGTGGCTCTTTCAGTGCCTATTTCTTCCTCTTCAAGCTCTTCCTCTTCATCTTCTTCCTCCTCTTCTTCATCCCAATCAGACTTGCCAGATTCCACTTCACACTCTGGTTGAGGACTTGCACGACTTTCCCTGGGTGGCTGAGAAGCCCCATACTTGGTAACAACTACAGAGTCAGTGGAATATACGGAGCCATTCCTAAATAAAATAAAAAAAAATTAAAAATCTAGCTGATCAAAGAGTCACTAATTGTATAAAATCTTCAGAAAAAATTACAATAAGATTAACTATTGAGATACTTATGCTAATAAATTAAAGATCCAAGAGGATTCATTAGCTAACATTACCTCACTATTTCATTTTCATGATATCCAACATCATCATCTTGAGCTAAAGCACTTGGAGTTTTTGCAGCGGAATCTTCTACATCAAGGTCTAGAAAGAAATTATTATACATTTTTATGCATTCTCTTTCACAAAAAATTCAAGAAAAATGATGGATGGCCTGGAAAGTTTGTGCCAAATTTCTGTAGGTGGTATAAAATTTTTTAATCAGGACAATAGAAAGACCCACTTAGTTTATCTTTGAAAATTCAATAAAAGTCCTGACATTTTAGTAGAAATATTTTAAAACAGCAAATAAATTTAACAGACTTGACTCATAATTTCTTAAATTTGAAGAAAATATATATTTGTAGGAAAATAAAAACTATTCTGGAAAAGTATTTTCCCAGAAAACCAGAAGTTTGGGAAGAATCGAATTTTCAAATTGCCAAAATGTTCAAGAAAGGTTGGGGAACAGAAAGGCAGTTATGTAATTTAATAAATAAACTAAACATTTAAACTCACTGCACTTAAATTTTCCTTTAAAATTACCAAATTTCCCCAGACATGCCAAGAGGCTGAAAGGTTTACTAAATTTTAATTCAAGATCTTTTTTAAAATCAGAACTTAATATTTTTAATTAAGACTAATATTTTTAATACAATAAAAACTTAATATTTTTTAACTTTTTGAGGAACAACTAATTTCATCTAATAAGTTTTGATTTTATCTTCTAAAAAGATTCTCAAATTCTATAGGAATTCACAATATTATTAAGAGCCTAAAAAATTCGGAATCCTCAACAAATTGGTTGAAATTTTGAAAGATTAGATAAGATACTTAAGACTACTTCTGAACATTTTGTGGATGGTTCCCCAGTTCAACATATCAAATGTATATAGTTTTAAAATTGTTGAGTATTATCATGAAAATCAGGTGAAGAAAATATAATTGTATGAAATAAACTACACATAATCACTGTGCATCTACTTTAAAGACAAATAATCAATATTAAATGAGATCCTACAGGAAATAGGAAATAAAACCAAAGCGAAACATTAGTCAGGGTTTCCACTCAATTTCAGAAAGAAAGAAAAATCCGACTTTTCCAGGTTTATCAGGAAAATTCATATTTTTCTATACCATGCAATTTTTCATTAGAAAACTGTTTTTTAATTTGTAATATCAAATATTAGATTTTATGAGCAAAAAAAAAATATCAAATGAAAATGGAAACAAGGGAGTTTCACTAAAATGTGAACTTTTTACAAAAAATAATTGTAATAAATGTCAGAATCATTTAAATCGAATTTATTACATCTTTGAATTTAGCTTTGAGGTAACATTGTTGACACACCAAAATAATCAATGTAACATATGTCAGATATGTACCTCCAGCTTAGATTTTTTTAAATTTGTTAACTATAAAGGAAAAGAAATTTTATTAGTATAATACATTTTTAAAAAAATTCTTTACCAGTTAATGCATTGTCAATTTCACCATTATCATCTTCTGAAAAAACTTCATCCTGATAACGAAATATGTCGTTTCTTACATAATACTTCTTGGGTGACTGTGGAACCAGAACAAAAGTTTGCATAAAGCGGCGCATCGGCTGACCATTGTTGGATAACTCACCAGATACCTAATAAATATATTTAAAAAAAGCATTAGCATAATATAAAATTTAACTATGATTTTTCTGTGACATATGTTGCTTGTGAAGATTTATGTTTGGGACATTTACTGGGATTGGGGCAATATTTCAATTTTTCAAACTGATAAAAAATTTTATGTCTACAAACTATCTGTTTATGTTCAACTTATATAGTATGTTAGTATAAGCTGCTGATAAACTTTCTAATATTAAAGACTGGCCAAAACTATTATTTTTAGATTAAACAGATAGAGAAACATCTAAAGAACATAGAAATTTAAGAATGAATTTCTAAATTCTGATTCTAAGTGGGTATATGGTTAAGCTTAACTAAGTCTTATGTTATTGGAATTGCACACACACACACATATATTACTTTGTGTTCGCTTTAGTAAGTATCTAAGGCTCAAAAATTAGAATGAAATAGTTAAAAAAAAATCATTTAATAATACAACAGGATCATAATACAACATAGATCCCAAATCACTTTCAAATTTTAATTTTTTAAAGAGTAGAATGATAGAGAAAAGGACTATACAACATATACTATACAACTTTAAAAATTAGCAAAATAGCATAATAAACAACTTAGTGAGCATATTTTAAGATAAAGACGAGTTTTTACACAAGTTTCTGCCTTCATATAGCAAGTTTTTTATGGGAAACAAAAGAATTTCCTTAAAATAATTAAATCGAATAAAAATACATGTCTGCTATTGTCCAGGACAAATTTACTTCAGTTTAGGGTAACTTCACAAATTAAACTTTTGGAAAAACGGTAGTTTCACAAAATACTCTTTCTTAAAATTTTATTTTTGCATCCCGTAAGAAAGGATAAATCCATATTTTTGTGTTGAGTTTTTGATAAAATTTTTAATTTTCACAAATTAGATCTTAATTTTCACAAATTAGATCTTAATTTTCACAAATTAGATCATAATTTTCACAAATTAGATCTTAATTTTCACAAAATAGGAACCTCTCAGAAAAACCTAGACAGCCCCTGGCTATAAATAGTAAAAACACTTTAAATTACTGCTATATATATTAATTATTACACACTCATTTTTACTTTCAAAGACTAATGCATTTTTCAGGCATGAAAGTGGACAAAAATAAAAAAAGCTGAAATTTTACAATGCAGTCACTGGGAGAAGGGGGGAGAGTGTTCTATATATTACTGTGATATTGATGATATAAATAAAAGGAGATGCCAGGAGTTTTTTTTATTATTTAATATTTAAAGTGGCAGAAGCATTTTGACAGTAAAATTTAAATTTTTCTTAAATATAATTTTAAAATTTTGACCACAACTATATTAAAGAAAATTAAACAATTATAGGAAGTCGCAACTATTAAATAACCAACTAATTAAATTACTCACTACTGAAGAATATCACATCTTTATAGTAACTAATTCACGAAAAAACTTTCTTTTAAGAATTGTGATATTGAATCAAGATAAAATCACTTGGATAGGAATCGCGATATTAGATTTTAAAATTGCGGGAATAGGAATCGCATTGTTGGATTTTAAAACTGCGCAAATATGAATCACGACAATGGATTTCAAAAACACGCAAATACAAATTGTGGTATTGAATTTTTAGATCACGTGAATACGAATCGCAAGGAGTAGCTTTTAACAGCGTATAAATATGAAAAACAATGTTTGATATTACAACCATGTGATAGCGAATCGCAATATCAGATTTTAAACATGAGCAAATACAAAAATCTATGATTGATATTAAAATCGTTTGAATAAGAATCGTGATTTTAGCAGAGTCTGGCGCAGTACCTAATATTTAAAATTCCGAAAATCAGCCAAACAAAATAAATCAAATGTCAGCGTTTGAACTACTTTACGTTCTATAGCGGAAGTTGCGGTTATCAAGGCAATGGCGTACCTGCCGAAACTCAACTAACCTATTTTCTTCTGAAGATCATTTTCTCAGGAGGCTACTGCAGGGGGGAAAGTTTGTACCAAGAGCGACTATCGTTCGGGCAGCTTGGGTTTCTCTAATTGACTCCCCTATATTTTGATCGGAAATTTAAAAAATTCATAGAATAAAAACGGGTTTAGACTTTTTCATAGAAGTCTTTCATCGCTGATTTTTCTAGCATTTTGATGAAATTTTGTTGAGCTCGGCTAAATGTACTGTATTCTCAGTGAAACCTAATTTTGATAGCCAAGTGCTTATACTCTCTGTTTTGAAATGAAATAATTTTTAGCATTTGTATATATGAAAATACATTTATTTATTAGCATTTTAATCTCAAAAACAATATTGAAATCTGTTTTGATAATGAAAGGTACAATAAATTTAGAACTATCACCAGTTTTACCCCATTCTGGTCAGGGTTTCTACCCAAAATAGAAAAAAAATCCCCTGAAAAAAATCCCGAAGTTTTCTAGACATATTTTTAAAAAATTTTAGTCCAATATCGCAACATATACTGACAATGCGTTGGTCAAAATATACAGTGAACAAAAAAATTATTATCTCTAATTTATACATTATATTGTATTTTTTTTAAAAATATATATGTAATGATACTCTATGTAGAAATTTATTACAGAAAATTTTACTTCTTTGAAACATATTAAAAATAGATAAAAATTTATGTCTTCACAAAACAATGTATATGTATTCCGAAAATTTTTTAATAAAATATAAAATCAATGTAAATAAAATATAAAATTAATGTGAAATACAAAATTAATGTAACAATAGGATTTGAACCCAGTCGAAAATAAAATGATTAATGATGCAAAAAGTAAGCTTTATCTTATTCAAATCTTGCTGGCAGGGAATATATCAAAGAGTTAATTAGACAAGAACAGAAAACTACAACAGACTATTTAAAAAAAGAAGTTTATTTAGTTCACTCTTTTTAAAAGAATATATTGGAGATACAAGCATTATTCAGAAAAAAAACAAGACCGTAAAAACATAAGGGGGAAAAAAACACAAATTATATAACTATTTCCAATGTCTCTAAAGGTAATGAAATAACTAGAAATAAATAAACCAGGGTTGGGTTTTTGACATGACAGTGGTAAAAACTGTGTTTTTACCGGTAAAAACCGTAAAAAACCTACTGTTTTCTTTAATTTATGGCATATAGCGGACAATATATTATTTTCACATAATTGCCTTTATAAATGAATGTTGATTTTGCAACTATATACATGTATTCTTATAGAAGGATATACATTCATATAGAAATATTGTAATATACTTATTGAAAATAATGATACTTATTTTTATCATTATAGCTTGATTTGCAAAGGATTCAAAATTTTGCACTTCTTAATTGTTAGAAATAAACAAACAAAAAAGCTTGGAGCTATTAATATATTCAAGAACTAAAGAGAAGAATTTAAAATTTGGCATTTCTTAAATATTAGAAATAAGCTAAACACTTTCAAAACTTGTAGCTACTAACAAATTCTAAGTCAAGAATGACTTGACATTCTTCAGTAATGTAATATGCCAAACAAAATGATGCTCGGAAATGTTGAAAATTTTGTTTAGTATCCTAATATTTTACTTCATATAGTATGTTTTAATATAATTATGTTGGGAAAATGCACGAATCTGTTCTTAAATATCTTTTAACAACTTTTCTTCTAATTTTATTGCCTAAAATGAATTAATTTTTAATTACAAGCAGTTAAAACTCAAATAAAAATACAGTTTTACCAAAACTATGGGTTTTTGACATGACGATAAAAGTCATGGTATAAACCGGTAAAAACCGTCATGTGTCAAAAACTTGCCAACCCTGATATAAACTGATTAAAAAATGTATTATATGTGTTCAGAAATAAATATAAAATGCATAAATATTTTAGGCGAAATAAATTTAATAGCATCCTTCAAAAAGGCTTAATTTTACATCTACTTTACCCCAACTTATACAGATTGCATAGCCAAACTTTTCAACAAAAAATAGGCACCTTTTAAGTACTTTTAAAACATTCAAAAAACATTTTTAAGCACTACATACATTAACAAAGTGCAAAATAATTTCTTAAGACTTTACATGATAGTGATAAATAACTAGTTTCTGATAAAGAACTCCCTTTCTTGATTGTATTAGCCCCCATAAAAAGATGGAGAGATTTTTCTGTTCGATTTCAGAGGGTGGAGGAAAATGAACAGGGGTCTGTCCAGACATTTTGTGAAAGGTCCGTTTTGTTAAAATTGTGAAAAAATTTACTGGTAGTTTGTGAATATAAAATAAATGTTAAGTCACACTCTTTCAACCAGGGTCCGCTTTTGTGAATTTGTGCAGTAGTTCTTAAATTGTAAAGACATACAAGATTATGCTCAACACTGTAAAACTATAATTAAAAAAATTAAATTTTAAAAAATTAAGAACAATTTCAGCTACTAAATTAGGGATGGAACATACAAATATTTGGTATTTAGCCTATACTGCTGAACATGGAATATTCATTTCGGACGAATAAAGGAAGAAGTGTCTGCCGAAGACAAAATTTAGTTCGTTTACCTGTCTTTCTTTCCTCCCCTCTTTCTGGGCAGGGTTTATTCGATTAACAAAACAATAATGAAGATAAGCAAATTTGTGAAGGGTCCGATTAAATGATAAATTATTTTGTGAAGGGTCCGTTTTTAAGTTAATATTTTGTGAAGGTCCGTTAACGGACCCAAATTTCTTCTAAACAGACCCTTGATGAAGCCTGAGAATAAATTGAGAATATCTTGCAAAATGCAGCAGAGTTGCACACGAGAATTGAAAGAATCTCACCAAACCCAGCTCAGTAGGCGCACATGCTGACTCGCAAGTATTTCAGCAAACATGTAAAATGATTGGCGCTTTCATACGCTATGGATCGAAGGTAAGCCGAAATGTATTATGTCTGAATTAATTATGAAAACGATGAATAGAACAATGTGAAAAGCATGCTTTTGAATATTACATGGCGGTAATCAACATGTTAAAGAAAAAAAATCTCATTTTCAAAAAGGGAAAATTGAGAACTTTTAAAAAACGAAAATCGAAAATAAGCACCTTTGAGCACTTTTTAAAAACGCTACGCACCACGCAGGAACTCTTCTCTAATTATTACTTCTTGTAATACATCTAAAGTTGTTTTTTAATATTTAAAAATTTAATTATTATTTATATATGTTTACCTGGACAACAACTCCATCGCCAAGTGTTTCTTGACTATCAACCTGTCTGATTTTAGCATGACAGTCTCTGAAATTTAACTGCATAATTCTTTCATGGATATCCTAAAACAAAAACAGAATTTTACAAAAAAATTTTAATTACCAAATACCAGGGCAACAAAACCAATGACCAAACTTACTTGCTGTCCAACAACTGGTCGAGTTTCCTGTCCAGGCCGGTCCAATCCTCCATGCAAAAATGATGAATCATGATTGTAAAATCTAAATAAAATTACAAAAATTACTAATTTATACCTTCTTAAAACCATTTCCAATAATAAATAAAAGATAAAGTTTAATAGTGACTTAGCTAAATTCTTACTAAATATACTTGATCATTTTGATTTTATGATAACTTTATGATGATTGGCTTTTAATTTCTAACAAAAGTTTTATAGTTATCAGGATTGGCATGATTTAAATCACTTTATTTTTTTTAAAAAATTATTTTGTCCAACTGAATTCCTTTATATATATTTTAGTTTAGCTTAAGATTTTTTATGCAATAAAAGTAATAAACACATTCTCTTAGGTGTGTTTTTTTTAAAGCTATTTCATTAATAATGATTTTTTTTTAATACGTAATGAAGGGTACATGTATCAGGGGTCTGTCCAGACATTTTGTGAAAGGTCCGTTTTTCGTGAAATTGTGAAAAAATTACTCACATTCTTTCAACCAGGGTCCGCTTTTATGAATTTGTGCAAATAGGGTCCGTTATTGCAAAAAAAAAATTTTTCAAGGAGTTTTTGAATTGTATAGACATACAAGATTATGCTCAACACTGTAAAATTGTAATTAAAAAAATTAAAATTTTAAAAAATGAACAACAATTGCTCCTTCTAAATTAGAGATGCAACATACAAACATTTGGTATTTAGCCTATACTGCTGAACGCAGAATATTAATTTCGGACGAATAATGGAAGAATCGTCTGCCGAAGACAGAACTTAATTCGTTTACATCCATCTTTCTTGTTTTCTGCCCTGGAAAGGGTTTACTCGAATAATAATGAATAAAATAATAATGAAGATAAACAAATTTGTGAAGGGTCCGATTAAAAGAAAAATCATTTTGTGAAGGGTCCGTTTTTAAGTTAAAATATTTTGTGAAGGGTCCGTTTTTATGAAGAGATATTTTGTGAAGGGTCCGTTAACGGACCCAAATTTCTTCTAAACAGACCCCTGTGTATGGTAATTATTTTAATTCAAAACAGAATAAAAGTGGATAAGCACAGTATAAAACTCATACCCACCAACATTGGAGAAATAAAATAACAGAGATCTTACTAGCAACATTTTTCGGGCTACAAGTAAAGTTTTGATACATCGCACATAATCATGTATGTCAAAAAGAGAAATTCAAATTGGTAATATAAGCCCTTACATTTAGCGAAGTAGAAAATATGTTTATAAATCTTAATATAAAGAAGATTTTTTAAAACCACTATTTATAATTACTTAAACAGTAAATACTAAACATACTTCAGTACTGGCAGCACCATCTGTTTAGGAATAAGCTGTATTTTTTCCATTAGCGGATGTTTTGGTTACCAATTTTTTTCTTTCTTAATTTTTTCAACAAATACGGAGAAATTTGAGAATATACAGGAAAATAGGAGACAGGCGTAAAATACAATATAATTTTCCATTAGCCGTAAGTTACTTAATTTGTTGTTTAATGGACCTATTTCAATTATACCCATTTTGTTTTATGTTTATTTAAATACAAGAGCTCTTAAAATTTATTTAATATGTAGTTAAAATTTTACATCAATAATGAAGAGGTAGTTGTTCTGGCCAGATATATAATTTTTTTCAGTAATTTTTTCTAATATAAATTATTCTAATTGACACATTACTTCTCAGTCTTTAAAATTAATGAGGATATTGAGCTTGATCAAAAATAACCATGCTTATATTCAATAATTGGCTTGTATAGATAATTTTTCAGAATTTTCATAATATAAATTTTATACATGTAACTTTTTATATACCTTAAGGAACTATAACAAAACTAAATTATGTCTCGAGGTTATACTGAGTTTTCATTCTAAAGAAAACAAATCTTAATAGATTTTTATCTATATGGACACATTTTTAAAAAAATTAAAACCTAGTAATATTTTGTTTATTTTATTTAATCATTTTCAAAAACAATATTTTTTTTGAAGCAAATTTTTGAATAAAACTAATTTTTGTGTAATCAAGACAATATTTAACATGGGTAGAGGTGGAAAAAATGATAAAATACCAAATACTTTTCATGCAATAATGAATTTCCCTTTAACAAATATATTTCACACAATTAAAAAACCCTTTATTTTTAAAAAATGCTAAGACTTTTATTGAAACAGGATTAATTAAATGTTTATTTTAAAATCTGAAAATAATAAAATTTACCTGTGAAGGTGTAGAGGAGCCTTGTTTAATAAAGTGTAATATTGTCGAACAAATTCACGACCCACACACTGTGGAGTTGGCAATTCCATGACCATGTTTTTAGCCTAATTAAAAAATCTTTCATTAGAAAACACTTTAAAACTGAAGAAGACATTTGATTACATTTTTTTTCATAAAAATAATTTTTAAATTATCGCAAAATGAAAAAAAATTAGGGTTTTTTCCAAACTAATTAAATAGTTATTAAGTTTTTATAAGTACACAACATAATTGAGCAAACAAGAATTTAACCTGTATAGAGAAGAAAAAGAAACTTCAGTAGATAATCTGCACTAATGAATAATCCGTGGAATATGCGACAGTTCTTTAGCTTAGCAATATGCAGTAGGGAACAGATTATCCGGAACGATCGGGACCATCGCTATTCCGGATAACTGATTTTTCCGGTTTTCTGAATCACTACAAAAAGCCGTTTTTTTATTGTTAAACCCAACTAAAAAAAAATATTTGGAAATAATCTTAAAAAGAAGAAAAAACGCTGAAGTAATACACTAATGATTATTTCCAAAATGATGGTAAGGTAAACATCTTTCAGAAAAGAAAGAAAAATCTTATAAGGAAAAAAACTTATCAAAAAATTGGTGGGAAAATTTATCGAATTTCATTCCGGTTTTTAGATTTTCCGGTTTTCTAATTTCCGGATAACGGGTTCTGTACTGTACTTAACATTTATGATGGTAATACTATAAAGACTGAATTTTTATCAGTTTGTTTACAGACTTGGTAGCTTTTCCTTTCAGGGACAGTACACATCTATCAAACGGAGTAAATTAATTGGAGTAAATTAATAATTAAAAAAACTAATTAATTCATTCAGGGATAATTGAGGCTTTATGAAACACTAAAACTTTTAAATTATAAGTTCTAATTGTCTACAGTTAAAATGTTAAGTAAAGTGAGTTTTGAAAGATTTTGCTAAGTGTTGATCTTATGCCACAGTAATACTAACCTTACCTTCTATTATACCTTTTAGAAATATTGCAATTCATAATGAAATTTTCACTCATGCACTATGAATCTTGAATGGCTTAAGATTTACTTTAACATGTTGCGAAATCTCTTTATTTTTTAGTTTAAACTATGAACGTTATTCAGGGTGAGTAGTCATATTTTTCAACAAAAATAAACATTTTTTAAGTACTTTTTAAGCACTCAAAAAATATTTTTAATCACTTTCCAAAAAAAAATTTACAATTAAGATATGTGCAGTTATAAATTTTTTTTTTACTGTTTAAAGTTCTTAATTTTTTAACATAAAATCAATAAAATTCAAAAAACTTTTTCACAAACTTCACATACTCATGATAAAATAACTGGTTTCTGATAAATATTGCAGAGAAAATTATGAAAATTGTTTTGCAACGACAATCAACATGGCAAAGAAAAAGTCTCCTTTTAAAACTTTTTAAGCACTTTTTACAAACCCCGAGTAAAAAAAAGCACATTTAAGGTCTTAAATGTAAATCAAAAATAAGCACATTTAAGCACTTTTTAAAAACGCTACCTGTTATTGATAATCAATTTAAAAAAGGAGAAAATAAGTTAATATCACTTAAGACATTTAGTTAATTCTTTTTAAAGATATGAATTGAGATTCAAGTAAATAGTTTTTATTAGTTAACAGTCAATCAGTTTTGTGCTTAATGCACACGCAGTATGATAAGTTAATAGCAGCTTGTTGTTCCCTAGAACCACAGAAATTTGATTCAGACCACCATAAAATAAATTAATAATGATCCCATGGACTAGCAATTGATGAAAGGGAAATAGTATACTTTTTTATTGTCTCGTTGTACTTTGTCATGAAATAAAAGATTTCTTCATATTTGCAAACATTAACACATTTGTGAATTTTTTAAGAAAGAATACATTTTCTTTCTCACTTTTATTCACATTTGTGATTTTTTAAAAAAAGAAAAACTTTTTCTTCTCACTCTTCTTCACATTTGTGAATTTAATAAATAAATAAAGTTTAAAAAAAAATTTTCAAATATTTTTCTGACTGGTCTTAATGACTAGATGCTAATTTTTATAGTTTCTACCCCTGCCAGGTAGAAGCTAAAGCTGCCTAGTTACAATTCACTACTTTCAACCAGATGAAATCCTTTTACAGAAACTTGTAATGACAAAACAATGTAAAAATATCAATATATAAGTTTTAATTATTTAATAAAAAAAATCATGTAAAAAAGCAAATTTTTTTGCCATTTAATTAGGTGGGTGGCGAAGAAGTGATTTACAAATATAAGCATCTAGATATAAAAATCTTGGCAACTAATCAATAAATTTTTACTAGTTTTAGTGATCTTTGTGCTACAGTAAAAGAGATTCAAAGTGAAAAATGACTGATTTTCACAATGCAATAGTCATCAACTTAACAATAAAGTTTCAAAGAGTAAGAATTAAAACTACTAAATTTTATATGAGGGATAGCTGAATGTTTTTTTTTTTTCAATCAGTGAAATAACATGGCAGCATATAACTGATTTTACTTTATAAATATAGATATTGTTAAAATAAATTTCAATAGTGTGACAAAAAAACTTTACTAGTCATTTTATAAATTTAATGTTTCCAGGGTGACCATGATCATTTTAAAACTTAAATTTTTTCTATGAGTAAAAATTTCTCCAAAGTGTGTAAATATAAAGTATTACAAATTATGTCCTCAGAATAAGAATTGAATCATTAGCAATAACAGATAATGAATTACAGGTATTACGTTAAAACAAGCTTACCTTTAAAATTAAATACAATTAAATTTTTTTTACAGAAATGCAGTAACATAATTTTAAACATTTTTCATGAAAACTATTTCTATAATCACACTTTAAAATTATTTAATTAAACTGAAGTAAATATACTTATGCATAAAAAGTTTAATAATTTATGTAGTTTGATTAACAAAAGCTTAGCTAATAACTGACTTAAATGGACATATAAAAGATCTGCATTTTATGAAACACGCATGCAGACCATTCACTACCTTTTAAAAATGTCCAATATATGAGACAATAAGCACCAAATTCCTCAATCTAAGAAGCTAATTTTATTCAGAATCATTCAGTTTAAAGGAAATAATAATTTATAAATACTGATTAACAACAAAATTTCTACGAAAGATTTAAGAATCACACACCGTTAGGCCTAGGGGATTTTCTTCTTCCTCCAACTTCTAAATCTGAATAAAATCAATCGAAGAGAAGTCAATACCACAAATATGTGGATTATTAAACAAACGCTGATTTTAGTCTTTTACACCAACTTCAAAATAAAAGTTTCAAAGAAATAATGACTAATTAATTTTTTTTTTATTTATACACATACGGTACTTGATATGAACCGATGTGAAGACTTAACGCCCTCTATGTTCATACGAGATAAACATATACATATACCGTTGCTGCAATAAAACAATAAAGATATGCTTCAGAATTATAAAAGATCTTTAATGTCACAATTAATATACCTCACTTAATGTACTAAGTATAGATGATATATGAAGGAAAACTTCCAGTTTCACAAAACTTTAATCACAAAACTCCCATGAACTTCTACAGCAGCCGCCGAAACATATTGCCAACTTAAATAAAGGACCTATTTTAATAATAATTTTTAATTCCAATTTTAAAATTTAGAAATTTATAAAAAAATAAACATCACACAAGATTTACTTCAATAGTTTTGTATCTAATTACCTAAATATTGCTTGATTCATGTACCAAAAATAGTCAGTTATTGATTTCGTTATATTTTCACTGAAACAAAGAAATTCCGTATCGCAACGCTATCATCTGGGGAGAAGACCGGTTCCATGTCTTAACCCTCCTCTCCTTTTCTCATTTCGAAATATTTTCCCCTTTTTTTTTAAATTTTTGTATTTATTTGTCAAAAGTAATTTTTTTGCAATTTCCACGACGTTTTCTTTAAGAACTATATTTAGTGTAGTTTTCAGTTCCGTATAATTTCCTAACTTAAAAGTTTTTAAACTCTTTGAAAATCAAGACAGAAACTAACGTACTTCCTTCTCCTATGACAGTCCACACACTAATTGGAGAGTCATAGGCGCTGTGCAAGCATGCGAAGTGCGCTGTGTAAGCATTAAAACCAACCCTCTAGAAACTTTAACGACCGAAGAAAAATTTCAATGATTTGTAAGATATACAAATTCTTATGACAATTTAATCTACGTAATTTTACGTAACGAAATCCAAAAAATTCAAAGCAAATCACTCCAGTAATTTCTGAGAAAATAAAATTTTAAAAATGCGACTTTGTTGAAACTACATCACTCAAAAAACATTTGAAGTATTTTAAGCTTCTGTTTACCTTACCTCAAAAATTGATTCATAAATAAAATATTAAGTTTTATTGTAAAGATATGTATCATTCATGAACAATCAAAAAAATCAAAGTAAATTAATTAAATTTATTTTAGTCCCGCAGTGCTGATCGTTAAGACATGGTTCCCAGCAGATTACCGAAGTCAAGTATCACTGGCTGTGGTCAGCGTGCGGGTGGGTGACCACTTGGATCAGTTTGCGTAGAGACCGAGGGTGTGTGATATTGGTCCTCGTTAAACTGTTCTATCGTAAAGTGCTCACCTTCGCCTGCAGATCGTCGGGCTGCCAAAGCAGGAGTGCCATCCCCTCCGCAGAGGATCAAATTTGTGATGACATGTCTTCGGATCATCCTCCGGGGTGTTTCCCAGACCGTCGCCAATAGCCCATTGTGCAGCTCTAGTGCGACGTAAATTAACAACAACAACAACAGCTTCTCTAGTGCGACGTAAATCAACTACAACAATAAATATACTTTTAGAAAAAGAAAAATTACGAGTTGTTTCTGTAAAAAGCGAAAACGGGGTATTAATAGACATCAGCTTCTTATTGAAAATGTTTATTAATTGATTTAATTATAAAAATATAACTTTACGATACTAAAATAAGTTTTTCATCATACCAAGGAAAAACTTAAAATAATAAAACTTATAAATCTACCGACTACCTGCTTTGTGTTATATGCAATTTCTTGATTACCTGATAGAGTATATGAGGTTTTGTTTCGTAATCAATACTTTAAAATTTTATCATATCATTCATGGCATGATGTTTAAAAAAAAGTATCGTAAAAATATGTAATTATAATTAAAAACAATTAATTTGTGGGATTGTTTATAAAAATTATTGACACAAATTAAAATTCAATTGCAAACTTTCTGAATCATATATTTAATTTCTAATCTGATGAAGTTCTAATCTGATGAAACTTCTAATTTCTAAATCATTTTCAGCATAGCACTTACAACTTTGTTAAAATATATAAAACTTGTGAAAAAAAATATATTGGAAAGACAAATCATTTTCAAAATATAATATTTTAATAAAATCAAATAGTTTAAGTAATGATGACGCAAAACGTAACAAGTTAATCAAATTTGCTAAATTTCTCTGCTTTTAGGAAATGTGTGATTCTTGTTCGATTTTATAACATTCAACACCGTAAGAACAGAAGCAGGTAAAAAAAAAGTGCCCAATCGTCCTTTGGCAGATTTGTCATTGTCATTGATTTCAAAAGACCTAAAAAATAAGAAAAGCGACAAGAAATAACAATTCTCTTCGTTACCGTAGTAAAACCACACAGAGGTGTCGCGAACTTATATTTTTGAGAGGTTAAAATGTCCTTTTTGTCGAATGAAATTCTTAATTTAGTCAAATCATAAATTACCTCCTGCAATAATACTTAATATATAATTTTAAAAAACATCAAAAGCAGCTCTAAAGAAGTTTTAGTAATAAATAACATTTCTGCCAAATGTTCATATTTCATCCAGCAATTATGTTTATTTTTATATTTAAAGTAGTAGCAAGATTCATGCTCCGATATTTTATTTTTCATTTAATAAATTTAACTTAAACTCGTAATCATATTTATATCTAAATAAAATAAACATATATGAGCTTTCTGTTTATCATTGATGTGGCTTTGATTTAGGTGCTGATGAAATTTAAGAAATTTCTTTTTGCAGTTATTGTTGTAATTACTGCATTGTTTCAACTGCTGTATATTACTGTAACTATAACTAACTGTAACTATAAAACTGTATATGTTAGTAGATAAGAAATAAGTACGATTAGTCTAATATAATATCAATAAGCAAGCAATTAAAAAAAGACTAATATTTAGTAAAACCAAGATTAGAATCAGCTAAAAATATTGATTTGCAACCAAAATCAAATTATTATGCATTAAAGTAAATAATACTTTTAGTAGTTTCAGTTATTTATTATTGGAAAAACAAACAATGTGATATTTATTTCAGCTAATCTGGCCACATATTAAAAGAAAATTTATTGAAATCTTATAAAATACATTTGTCAAATTTGAATAAGTAATGTATAAGGCTGTAGTTTTTAAAAAATAATGTAGGTTGTAATTCCTTTGCTACAATAAAAAAAAATCACATTGTTGCTGATATTTTTACAGCGTGTTAATTTTTTGCACCAGCATATTACTACATAATTTAACGAATTTATACTTAAATATACTAGTCAATAAAAAACTTAATAAATGGGCCATTTCATTAACAAATAGAAAAAATAGAAAAAAATTTATTCGTAGAAAAGATGAAGATATAATTTGTCACTATAAAAATAATTAGCAAAACAAATAATACAGATAATTAATTACAAATTAAATGCAAAATATATTGGGATTACTTTAATTTTTAATACGAATTATTAAAATAATCTCAATTTATTTATTTATTTTAAATGAAAGGAAAATATTTGAAACACTGTGTTCAAACGATGTTAAAAAAATGCTCATTTTTTGTTATCCGTTCAGGATTATATGAAAAACACCAAAACTTGTAGAATTTAATTACTCAGAAATTAATTAAAAATTCTTGAAAAAAATTGCTAACAGGTTTTTCTTTACTTTTATCTTCTCTTATGAGGGTATGAAACTAAAAAAATTACTATTTTACTGCTATTAGTTTTAATCCAAAAACCGTTAATAATAACTATTTTAATGACTTTAAAACTTATCCGAAATTTGAACAAAGTAAGTCTAGTTATGCATATAAGGACATTAAAGTACATAATTGTAAAATAAAATATATCGCAAAAAAAAGAAGTGTTTAAATTAGGCATGAAATAACCTCATCAATAATAACATTTTGACATGTTATTATTCATGGAGTGTTAAATTACGTTTTCATACAGGATTCATTTCTCTAGAAATATGCAAAGTCTTATATTGTTTCATCAAATAGCTTTTGTGCTATAACATTGACAGTGAGAAGGATATTCATCGAGAATTTTCTGAAATAGCATGCAGCGTTTTTCTTCTTTATTTATTTATTTTATTTTATTCATGTATCTAGATCAGAGGTCGCCAAAGTGATCTATATAGACCCCCAGGGGTCTATTTAACATAAGCGGGGGTCGATCTGAACCAGGGGGTCGAATGGGAGTCGATCCGAACCAGAAGGGTTGATTGGTCGAAGAATTATCAGTATTTTTCTGATATATGACAATTAGAATTAAAAGAAGAAGACTTGGAAATATATACAGGTAATCTTCAAAAATTGATCGACGATTTTAAACTGCGTTTTGTTGATTTGGAAAACATTGACATCCCTGATTGGATTATTGTGCCATTTTCTGCTCAAATTGAAAACGTGGACATCAACATGCAAGATGAGCTTGCTGAATTATTATGGGGATTTGAAGCAAAGACGCTTTTTAAAAATTTAACAATAAGCAAATTTTGGACAAATATAAATATAATGAAAAATTTGTAAGACTTAACGAAATAGCTCAGCCATTTATGATAGCATTTCCAAGTTCCTATATGGTTGAAGCCGGTTTCAGTCACGTAAATTCAATCTTAACTAAGAACAGAAATGAATTAAATGGGGAATTTCGAGGGGATTTAAGATAAAAAATGACCAATTTTGAACCCAATATAACGAACCTTGAAAAAAAAAANTGAACCCAATATAACGAACCTTGCAGAAAAAAAAACACCAGGCACACCCATGTCATTGATTAAGAAGCAATAAATCCGTTGCTACTTTACTTATTATTTCTACTTACATATAATTACTTATTATTTCATAAATATTAAGGTATTTATATTTCAACATTAATATATTTTTCATAAAACTATTGTTACACTATGTACTATTACTTTAATAAATGTTCAAAATCATAAAATAAATGTACAAACACAGTATCTAATAGAGTTTCATTTTAATTAAAAGAAAATTACTTTTATGGGGATCGATGGAGATTTCGAAGAATTATGTAGGAGTCGATGATCAAAAAAGTTTGGCAACCCCTGATCTAGATAGACAACAGAAAAACAAAAAAGTAATCCCAGAGGTTAAACAACGTTTACGCAGTCTTTTAAGTTCCTGTGGATTTAAAAAGTAAGATAAAATTTTGTAGTGTGTAAATAAACTGATAATTTTTGCTCAGTTTCGTGCAATATTCACCTGCAATGCTAACCAAACTGCTTTCACCTATTCTCTGTTAAACTTTTTTTTCTTCCATAAAAGACGAGAG